AACAACGCCGGTGCTTAAAAATACGACTGATGGGGGGTAGGAACTAGGCTAGGGCTTTGCACTCTCCAAGCAGATGCTAGGCTTTTTAGGCAGTTTCTCGGACTTTCTATTTCTTAGTTCGTAAGCTTTTCTGTGATCTAACTCTCAAAGCAAAGTTGACAAAATAGAAAACCGAAAAGGGCCTAAAAGTTTTGGCCTTTTTTTAGCGTTTTGTTGGGCTTTTTATTTTGTCATCTTTTCTGTGGCATAACAGGTGTACCCAAACAAAACCTATAGAATAGAAAAGCCCAACAAAACGCCTAAAACGTCCAAAATTAGCCTAACCTCTGCATGGAGACTGGGGCTTTGTCCATACTCGGCCACCTTGTTAATGGTTTGACAGGAGCTGTGCTCAGCGGCTCCCGTAACTAGGACGCGCGCAGGTGACATATCGTCTTGTCTTCAGTTGACCCGCCGTCCCACAATGGAAGTCGTGTCGGCGCTGCTCTTTGAGGCCGCATGTAGGTCGGTGTTCCCTAACGGTGACGGCTAGGTCGTCGTACGATTTTTATGCCTCAGTATTTTCTTTTGTGTTCTAAGTGTTCGTCTCTGTCCTTTTTATGTCTTCCACTGCCTTGGAAAAAGAAGTTGAACCCAATAAATTAGAATTTAAACTCAAAACTAGACCAGAGTAGTCACATGTTATATCGTTAACCGTTGTCCATACGTTTTATTTTTATCTTACCTGCACTATTAGCCTCTGGGCAAGAACTATGTCTGCGGGAATGGGAAGTTGGTTCATCAATTTGTAAACTTCGGCCCTCGAAGTAGAGGTCTCCTTAAGTGTTCTCGTTGTCCTGGTTTTGTCTCACCTTGTGTAACTCAAATTAAAAAGAAGTACTTTTAGACAGGTTGTGGCAAAATCAACGGCAGCCAACAATCATATATTAAACAGCTGAATTTTGCAGGTTGCGCGCAAGTTAGAGTGTCTCCATTTGTTATTCATAAAAATATAAGTGTCGACTGTTAGGTCCACTGCAGTACCATAACAAGCCACCAGGAGGTTTAAAATCCAACCCTTTCGAGGTGTCATGAAGGCCTACCCAATATCAAGACAATCCACCCAAGCCTTCTTGAGTTATCGTGTTGACATATACACACACACACAGCTTCTTGTCGAAGGCAATGTCAGTTTGTCTGATTTGATATCGCACGTGTACCTCCTGTCAGCTGTACGAGTTAATTGGCGTCGGGAGGTTCTGAAGTGCGCTATTACCGGGGACCAAATATGACGGTAGGTCTGCTCGAGCTCGCTGACCTTTCATATCATTTCTGGGACGGTATTCGCGGTCGCTGAATCGGGGACGCAGTCCGGAATTAGAAACAAGGTCAGACCTTCACAAGTGACACATCTTCGTCTGCGTGCACGTGGGATCGATCTGTGATTGCAACGTTTTCTTGGACAATATCAATGTGCATGCACAGCTTAAGCACCTACCACAAATTGTTTGTTTCGCATAACCGGTAAACCGCCTTTAGGCGTGACACACCAGTTTTGTACATGTAAGTACATGTACATGTACAAGCTGCGTAAGACCGGACTGTAAGGTTTGAACCACTCACACCGGGAAGGTCCCCTACTCTTTTCGATAAGTGCGGTGGGTTCTTTAACGTGCGTGGGGTGTGGATCTCCCCAAACACATTCAAAACATTCTAGTCAGTCACTATTGGACCACCTCTGACATCATGTTATACAGATGACACACGTCAGTGAGCAGTGGTTCTAGAAAGTATGTGGCGCCACCCGTCCTTGTTCAGGAATGGCTGTAACATGTTATCTTTCACGAACTTTCAGCACCACATTGATGCAGGAAAAAGTTAAGTTTCCACCACTCCAGTTAATTTGTTAGACCACAGCCCGTAGTAGAAACTCCCACTTGTTTAGAGTCTACACTGTACAGCGGTTACTGTAACAGTTACCTTAGTTTACCTTTATGTCTAGGAGTCGTAAGATAGTGGACTGACTCCAGAGAACTAAGTCGTTTGTAAGTCTGACGCTTAAACTGTCATCTACATGTAGAGCACTCCTTGCCTACAAGACAGTTTTTCGTTTTAAAAGACAACTCAACTCAACGTATATGCGCAGTTTTCAAGTAAGCCAACTGATGATGGGAATGATATCATAGCGTGTTCTTCTTGTCACTGGTCCAGTCAGATTATGTCCGCGATTATGAGCAAGGTTGAGTGAAGCTTTAATGAGGTGAAAGTTTCGACTGGCCGAGAGAAGCCGTGTTGAAAATGAGTCATGTTTGAAGTGTGCAGACTCAAAGAAGCGCCAGAGTAAGATAATATAACTTGGCGGGGTTCCCGTTGACATTTACTGGAGTACTCAGTTTGAGTCGTCTGCTTTTTGAGTTAAAGTTCATGATCGAACACATCGAACCCCCTGTTCTATTTAGATTTTGATGGTGGTGTTTGAAATAGAACAGGGGGCGGGGCTTATGGTGTTCGATCAGTTCGACCAGGAACGATCTATTGCATTGTTACAGAAGGGCTGTTACAAAAGTCCGTATTATATATTGCAAAGTGTGATCTAAAGAAGAAAAAAATACTGCTCTGCCAGTGATACTGTGTTGCCAATTTGATACTGTATTGCAGCCACAAAAACGATCTGCTCGGAGTCCTGCGTATGCACATTACGTGCTGGGACCTGGCGACCGCCGGCGGTATCCACGTGAGGTGCGCTCCCGTGGCAGATAGAATCGCTGACGCACTTTCAGATACAAGAGTGCCTCCACTTCCAGGCCGGCCGCGGGTCAAGTACGCCAGTCATAACATGCGACGTAGACAACGCTGCGGGAGCGCCAAACTGCACTTCTCTGCCTGGCCCACTTTTCTGGCATGTTATCTGTCTATTTCGGCCAAAATCTACTCTTTCCAGTTGCTTCTAAAGCCTGGTAGAGGCTACACGCGACCAACATTCATCCAGGAAGCTGTCCTTGTCTTCGCTAAGCCATTGGGTGAAATGCAAATGCCGTCATGTCATGTTTTGAAACGAAGCAGGAACGTCGGCGTTGTTTAAATCACATGATCGTAGGGGCGAACTGTAGCCGTGACTACACAACAATATGTACATCTCCGCCGCTTCGCAAACGCGAACTCACCAATTCAACAGGAACACAAAAGCGAGCGAGACAGACATGCAAAGCTGAATGAAAACCTGTCTGAAACCTTGAAGTAGGAGTTGATTTTATTTTGAATGCCATTGTCAGAAGCTACCCAAGAGCGGCCTACAGTCTGTTCCTGTGAATTAACGTGAACAGACCTCACGCTAACAAAGAGAGTAAACCTGGCTTACGGGACTTCACTCTTCTCTTAACCTTGTACGAGCGCGAACGGGGGCAGATGTTCAATGTGCACGCGACTGCCAGTGGCCGGGTTTAGCCTCCAGCAGGCCTTCATAAGTGGTTATGAAGAGTAGAATTCGGGTGAATAATTGGCAAAAAGGGTGAGCCCGCGGTAAAGGTGACATTTCCCCTCCGGCGGGTAAATGAAACTCTATGGTGGCCAAACTCTCCTGGCAAATATTTCTTCCTCAATTTCACTATCTTCTTCGGCCAGCGGGCCTAGTAAATCCGCAGGATCAGAAATAGCAAAATAGAGCCAAATAAGGGGAATGATTGACCAGCTTGGGGAGTTTGGCCACCGTAAAGTTATCGTGCAGTTCGGCGGACCAACTCTCCTAGCCTGGCCAATTATTTCCCTTTTTCTACCGAATTCTACGATCCGTCCCCCGTAGGAAGGCCTGGTGGGGTCTGGGCCGATGCCAGGTTACCGTTATGATGGCTCTAAATCCCGCCCCTGCAGGGATAATGTACAGGAGTTGTGTGGGTCCCGCGGGTAGGTTTACTGTGCCGATGAGCAGGGATTGCCGGCTAGGGGATGTTTTGTTTTCCAGTGCATCGGGAATTGATAATGGGTTCGTACGGGGACAGGCAAGGGTTTTCTGGACAATGTTTTTGAGATGTTTGGGGGCGTCATTGTGTTGTGTGGCATGAAATAGTTTTCATTTTGATCAGAACGCGCGAATTTCGAATCGCAATGGTACATTTAGATGCATCACTATTATGTCTTGTTGCTAAACGATAGGCTATAGGCAAAACTCATAAACTTCGCTTTACTTCTCTGCTGGGTACACAGTGTAGTCACAGCCAAACTCCAGGACAAAATGCAGAATGTATTGCATATGAAAAAAAGCTGATAAATGCATATAAAAATACTGGTTGATCCCGACGTTTTATCACGCTTTGGAGCTCGAAAAAATAAATCTAACATAAAGAGGGGCGACAAAAACTTCCCAACACATTTATCCTCTTCTCTGTGCACATGTACCCGCTCGTATGCCCGCTCCCTCCTCTTTGGTCCGTCCATTCTGTACCGCTGACTAAGGCAGCGGCTATGGCCAATTAAGCCGTGTTAACTCACTTGTCTCATCCTTTGTAACTCACTAATTTTGACGTTATTTTGAATCCACGTATGTATGACTTTCCGTTGGTGACAGTACTGGTCACTGTCCATGGTGCTGAAGTTGCTCAACTACATGTTGGGATACGTCCGCTATGACAATCAGCGGAGCAAAATTCCTCCAAAGACATGCATTTTACATTAGAAAGACTTTTGAGCCCGCATTTTTAGTCTGGTGGAGGATTTTCAGGCCACGTACTCCCGCTGTCATCCAATTTTCTACCGACAACTTCGTTAGAAAATTTGACGACAGCTGGGCTATGCTGCCGGGAATTATGTTTACACGGCGTTCCCGCTGTCAACAGTACCGCTTTCGCTAAAATATGTATTCTCGTCTTCAGAACGCAGGGTCGGTCTCCAGAGCAGACACAAACGGCAGTATCAATGTCGTCTCCGGCGACATTTTGTTACTTGTCTACTGTTGATTGTCAGCCTATTTATACATGTATGCTAATTGCGGATCCAAATGAACTAAACTCAACCCTCCCCGTCCTCAGGACGCAGCGTCGGTCTCCAGCGCAGACACAGACAACAGCGACAGCAATGCCGGCTCCGGGGACATGGACGTCTCGTCTCCGCACGAACAGGACGCAGACAAGGCGGCACAGCAGTCAAACGGAGTCACCAGCAAGGAAGGCAAGTCAGAAAACGGTCAGTGCATCTCAATAATAAGTTTTATTGTAAGTTAATGGACATGTAAAAATTGAAACAACGTACAAAATAATGATAAAAGTGAGAAAGCAAGAAAAAAGTGAGAAAAAAAAGTGAGAAAGCAAGAAAGTGAGAAAGCAAGAAAAAACAAAACAACAGTTACTCAAGCAACTGGATATGATTTTGGAAACGGTCTGACGTTTCAGGTAGCATCCACTACCTTTCGCCAGTGACACTGAAAAAAAGTGGCTAATCTACATTCCAGAGGGCAAATTGTAAAAGAACAAAACTTTGCCTGCATTATTGCATTTCAATTTCCCCATCTTATGAATAAATTCAGCGACGTTATAGACGGGCGGAGACAAGCCTTACTGTGTACAAATAGGTAAATATATCAAAGAATGTCTAGACCTCGTTAGACCTAGTAGTGTAAAAGATTCGTCAAACTCAACATGTTGACTTATTCATATATACTTGTATGTGAGGTAATATGTATACACATTGTTTATTTGTGGGTATGGTTGTAGAAAACTTTACTTTTGTTGTGTCAATAAAGATTTCTGATAAATCTATATATACATAGCAGTATCCTCGACCAACCATCCAGCCCAGAAAATTCAGTGCATGCTCATACATATCTCTTTAACAGGACTTCACAAACTAGAAAAATTATGAACCTAATAAGAACTTTGACATGATGTCATGTTAACAACATATACCACCTTAACAAGATCAACAATTTTACCCCATGCCTCTATTTGGTGGCATTCTAGGGCTTCTTGGCTTGTCACATCACGTTATTGACATCTGCATGTTTGTCACTCAGACCTTCCATCAGTCGAAATATGCCTAACACGCCCTGGGTCACTTGTTCAATTTGTTGCATGTAACATAAGTGCTGACATCATGTCAAAAATATGAACATAATGGCCCCATCCATTTGGATATTACACCAATATTTCCTCAGAGTAGCCTAAGTCAGCAAATCCCCCTCCCACAGGACACAAAAAATCACCATCGTCCTAATCATTCATCAATCAGTGCATGCACGCCCTATGGTGAAAGGCACTGTCCAAGCAGAGGTTTGGGTTTCAGCTTATTTTTGGCCTGTTTTTAGGCTTTTTTATCCAGCTTTCTTATTTGTACTGGTATCTTTTTTTTGTGCCAGCCCAAAAGCCAGATAAAAAAAGCCTAACACATAAAAATAAACCTAAGCCCAACCCCCTGCTTGGAGGGTAGGTGAAAGGTCCTCCTCAGGTCAAGGAAAATTAATGTTGTGTTTCCTATTATGGTCCTGAAAAAAATTTGGGTCGGCAGGTAAGGATTCACTTTTGAAAATTTTTGTTTTGCATCACAGCCAAAGTGATCCAACAAATATAGTTAACATGCAACAATAAAATGCATCAGTATACTCGTATATTTGGAATTAAACACAAACGTTTAGTCCATGGTTTGGATTCATTCGGTCCACTGAACCAGTTCGCACCACAATGTCGGATCAAAAATTTTATGTCTCAAAAAAAAGGGGTAGAGTAGGGCGCTTTTGCTACAATGTAGGTTAGGTCGGGTAACCAGAAACACAGCATTTTTTTCCCAGGCCTCACCCAACACAAGGTAAAGTGCATGTGTCCTCTGTGTGACCTCTGCTGGAGTGACAGTCTATCGACCTCGTGTACATCCTGTAAACCATCGGGGATCAGGCAGATGAATGGGGCCTGATGGGAGGGGAGGGCCCGCAGGTTAGGCCATGGAAAATATGTTGTGTTTCCGGGTACAGTCCAGACAATGTTAGAGATTAATATCGTTTTTATTTCTTAAATGATCAAAAAAATACAGTTTGACAATGTAAAACTCAGGTATATTGATGGGAGGGGAGGGCCTGCAGGTTAGGCCATGGAAAATATATGTTGTGTTTCCGGGGACAGTCCTGAAAAAATTAGGGTCGGTTGACAATGTTGGAGATAAATATCGTTTTTTTTCTTGAGCGATCCAAAAAATATGGTTTGACAATGGTTTGACAATGTAAGGGTAAGGCCCTCTGGTTAGGCCCACGAATCAATATGTTGTGTTTCCGGGTACAGTCCTGAAAAAGTTAGGGTCGGTAGACAATGTTAGAGGTCAAGATCATTTTTTTTCTTAAGCAATCAAAAAAATATGGTTTCACAATGTAAATCTCAGGGCTCAAAATACTTGTTTCAATCTGCATAGTATATTGATGGGAGGGTAACACATATAGGCCCACGAAAAAAATATGTTTCCAAGTACAGTCCTGAAAAAGTTAGGGTCGTAGATAATGTAAGAAATTAATGTCTTTTGTCTACTGTAGTGGTCCAACAAATACAGTTTGACAGATGTAAACTGCAGAGCTCGAAATATTTTTTTCTGCATACCAGCACTGGTGCATGTAACATTAAAAATTACTGTTAGGCCCAGGAAAAATAGATCAGGGATTGACATAATTTTTTTCTGCATATTACTGCAACATTGAAAGTTATCTTCATCAGACAAATGTACCTACCACTCAGAATTTAGGAAGTATGGATCACACTGAAAACAATTCAGGAAGTATAGCTGTTAGTTCATTTACACTTTATAGGTGATAAAATACGCAGTCAATGCAACAAATAAAAGAATATGTTGTGTTTCCAGTTACAGTCCTGAAACAAAACAGGGTCAGTAGTAGAAAATGTTAGAGATTAAAGTACTTTTTGGCTGGATCACCATTTTTCTGGCTGAAGCAATCAAAGATAATATTGTACGGTTTGACAATGTAAAACTACAAAGCTCAAAATACTTTTTCTGCATATTGGCACTGGTGCAGGTAAGATTGATAAGTACCTGCACCAGACAAATTTTACCTGCTGCAGCACTCAGAACTTACAAAGAGACAAATATTTCACCTGATTTGCCCTATAAATGAAATGCAGCTTGCATGCCGCTTTTCATTGAGCTTTCATGAATAAAGATGGGTTTAAAAAATTCCCTCTGAAAAGGTGCGAAATAACATTTTAGAGTGTTTGAAATTCAGATGTCAGATCAACATTGCCAGCAGTCCAAAAAGGGCTAGGGTTGGCGGGTTTTTACTATGGCCAGTGGGGAAACTGGGAACACAGCATTTCTTCCTAGCCTCAGGCTTCAGCTTAGGATGCAGACTAGTAACAGTAATACTGGAGGAGACGGATGGTGGATGTAGGACAGCATGAAACAACATCAGTCATTCTGCACAGATGCAGAGTGCTGTCTGGGTGGGGGCCTCTGGAGAGTTTTGCAGTGTGTTTTGCTGGAATAATGCATTCAGAATTTCATCCACATAGACAGGGTACTTTCGAATGTCAAAACTGCTACATGCAACTTGGCTTAAACAGCTAAAGTAAAGTGTAGTACATAATATATGTAATTATATGTAACAATATCATTATGTACTTACCTAATTATATTGCATCACATAGGTAAGGTTATACATGCACCTTGCATAGTCTATATCTGTAGTGTTCTACCAGTTTTGCACTAAATTTCAGTGGGTTCTTAATTGGAATAGTGTTCACAATTCCATCCACATACACAGGGAACTTCCGAACGTCAAAACTACTTACATGCAACTTGGCTTTCTTATACAGCTACAGTAAATGTAAGAACTACATTTTACCATACAGACAAGGTGACGAATGTCTGTAGTCTTCTGCATACATAAAACACGTAGATAGAACAGTTTCAACACATTTAACGACCTGTCTCCAAAGAGACCACTAGGACCACAAGAAGAAAAACTTACTACTCACTTTTTATGCCTTTCTATAGAGTTCCTTTCAAGAAAAAAAATCGTGTCCCAATACATTTGCGGCAGCCCTTAACATAATTCTGTGTCCAGAGTTAACTCAGGGTGCCTCCACTAAAGGAAAATTGACTGACCTGGTCCTGTAGCCAGACATAAATAGCCCACATGGACTTACAGGCATTAGCCCAGCAGTTGGAGGGGGGTTAATGTGAGACCATAATGTTTGCAGAGAATACCTTGGGTGAATTCGGCAGTCAATCACGCCGATAAAAGGCCAGTTTGTTGCACATTGCCACAGGGGGGTGTTGATTATATTGCCAATTCTCCCTACAAACTGCCAGCCCGCAGGTTGCGTTGATGTCCTATGTAGGAGGGCCAGAAATGGTTTCTTTTGTTGACCTGTGAAAGGTAGTGGATCGCGCTGAGCCAGGCTGCGGGTCAGGCCGTGAATGGATGTCGGGAGGACAGAATTGGTCATCAATCGTCGGGGTGATTAGCACGATTTCCAGTTGATGAGACACATATTCACGTCCCGAGAGTGCGGGAAAAGGAGACAACTGGCCACAAAACGACCCTAAACCTGTCAGCACCAGAGGAATACGTTCCACGATGACGCAGTAAATATTGCAGAGCTACATTCAGCTACAGTTCTTGAGCACTTGAATGTATGTCTGTCTCTGGGTCTGGTTGACTGTTGTCAATTGCCTTTCTCCAACCTTCTCTGTTTTCTGCTATCCAGAGAATCTCACTCTGTTCTCTGATGTTGTATCCCTCCCATCTCTTTTTCTGTCTGGCTCTTTTTTCCTCCTCACACAGTGCCACACAGGATTGTCTTTGCCATAACCTTTTAAAATTTGCATTTTGTTTCAGTGGTAAATATTATATATTGGTGGCAAGGTGGTCTTGTGGTTAGGGCTGTTGACACCTATTATGTCAATTCTTTTACAAATGTGGTAAATCTCAATATAATTTAGTTAATATTAGTGAAATATTAAGAGCTTAAAGCAATTGTAATATACTCCCTGCTGTGGGCCCACTTAAACAAATGAGGCATCAGTCCTGCATTTGTGTTGGTCACAATAGAAGCTTACTGAAACATGTATGTCCAAACATACCCAGTAATTATGTAACACATAGTACAGATGAATTAGTGTGTAAAATTTGAACATCACACAGTTCATGGTTTGGTTTTCAGCACTCTTATTGTTTGAATGACAATAAAGCAAGGTTTTGTCTAGCTGCTTCACAGTCATACATTTAATGCTGTAGCGTTAAGTAATTCCACATCATGAATATGAAGGGAAAAAGCTAACAGGAAGTAAGCTATGTGACAATATCAACATACAGTGTCATGCCCTATGGTCAATATCCAAACAGATCTTTCAGTGGCTACGAAGTACAAGACATTATCAAATCAGCAATTGGTTACACATCAACATCACTGGCAAAAAAAAAAGAAAGCCTGAGAAAAACAGCCTAACATGACATCAAAAATTTTAGCCAAAGCCCAAACCGCTCTGCCACCATGAGCCACCAAGTTGCATTACAGCTTTAGTACTGAAATGTTACTGAAATGAGACTGTCAGTTTGACAGTCACATGTCAGTACTTGTGGTTTGCTAAGTCTGGGAATGAACCACCATGGCCCTTCGGTGAACCCGTTGCACAAAGCAGCAAAAGAAATGGGGGGTAACATGGAGAGAGGCAGTAAAACAGATAGCATCACGCTGCACAGAGAGGGACGATTAGGGCGACTGTGGGGGAGACGGTATTAAGGCAGCAAATCTTGAGTGATCTTCAGTCCCGCCTCCTGGACTGGAGATGGGCTCTTAGAAAGAAAGAAAGTAATCTTGATCCAGTTTTAGCTTGCTGAAGAGCTAATCTCCCACTGGTTATGACAGAGAAGATGTCCTGAGCTTGTGATGGGGCTAGTCTTAGAAAGAAAGAAAGTAATCTTGATCCAGTTTTAACTCACTGAAGAGCTAATCTCCCACTGGTTGTGACAGAGAAGACAGACGCTATGTACAGTTAGTATTTACAGGTTGTACCAGGGCATAGCTCTTTTTTGACAAACACAATGAAGTTCAACATCCCGTCCTAACTCACTAGCAACCCTTTCCAGTCCGCTTAAAGAGGAGACAGACATTCAAGACTTTAAAGATTTAACACGAGTGGGCAATGTATTTCAGAGTCAAGATCTATCCATCTTAACACTATTAATATAATGTCATTGCCGATTAGATGAGGGTGTTCTAAGTGTAAGTTGTTATGTCTGTGGGTTGTCTTTTCACTTTGCACACAGAAGATTGCACACACACACAGATGAATATCATTATTTACACTGTGGGCAGGTTGCCAGTATGCACCCCAAATATAATGCTAGACAATAATAGATTTTGATTTTCTTACTACATTACAGTACTTTGATTCGATCATGTTGGAGCGGGTTGTAGCACCTGGTCTTTGTGTACTCATTTCTTTACTCATTTTTACATTTGCATCTCTGCTTCTGTCTAATCTGATGATGGTATCATCAGTTTACTTTTTAATTCTTGGCATAATGTAAATAAATTGCTGGCGACATTATGCCAGCCAAGTTTTTATCAAGTACTTTTAAGTAATTCATAGGTAGGATATAGGTAGGAGATGTGCTGAGGATAGTTTTTAAGTAGTGTTTGGACATGTACTTGATGCAAATGAATGAATAAAAGATAAATTTATCCTGTAATGTCTTGTTTTGAACAGAAGATTCTGCATCAGATGACAGCAGTGCAGCGCCTACTAGTCCCACACCTCCCTCCAACAAGCCAATAGGAAAGAGTCTAACAGAAACAGCTGCCGGCAAGCAGCCAATAGGAAGCCAGGACAGCAAGAATGACGACAGCATGGAGCCAATCAACTTGAGCGACAAGTCGCCAAAGTCAGCCGAGTCGCGGAGTTCCCCGTCGGAGGGTCTGACAGGTCGGAGGTTGGAGGTGGAAGGTCAGAAGGGTCATCGACCTGACATCAGTGCCCACGGTCACACCTACTCTCTCTTCGCTTGCCTGAAAGCCGCTGACCAGGAACCAAAAAGAAACGTGAGTCTATTGATTGACCTACGACCTTCAAAAAATTATACGTTGTACTAACGTGGTTGTCATTATGGCAAATTGTTCTTTTTTAATTGGTGATTACAAATGATATGTTTTTAGAGACTTTGAATGTAGTTAAATGTGATAAGCAGAATTCTCAACAAACTAATGATACTGTCCAGTAGAGTACCAAAGTGATAGCTAAGGTCAACTGTTAATATAGCTGGTTACCTGTTGAGTTGGGAAAGTCATATATTATATATGTCACTATAAATGTCATGGAATATATGATTTGGTTAGATTGGGTGGAAAAATCTGCTGAAGTAAGGAGGACGGATTTGCACTTACACTTCGTTAAGCACCTGCTGATTTGCACTTAAGGCACCTGCACTTTGCACTATGTCCCACCCCTCTGCAGTTTACACAAGAAGCACTGAGTGTTCAGGGTTCATCTGTTTACTCTCCAAGCAGAGGTTTAGGCTTGCGGGGCCTTATTTTTGAAGGCTCTAGGCATTTTTATCAGCATTTCTTTTTTGTACCAGTATAACTTTTTTCACCAGCCTAACAGTTTAAGCTTTGGCTTATTCTTAACGCCTTTGTAGGCATTTTTTATCTGACTTTCTTTTTTGTACCGGCATAATTTTTTTTGCCAGCCAAACATATTATTGGATACTTCCCTGCCAATTTGATACTGTCTTGTAAATTTGATACTGTCTTGTAGCCACCAAAGAAGGTGGCCAATTAAGGACAGACCCAGATGGAAATTAAGAAAAAGGCATGGCATTACATTATATGTCTCACAAGGGATGAAGAGGATAAATATCATTCTATAATATAATGTATTGTAGCCACCAAATATCTGCTTGGAGATTACCGTCTGTTTACTCGTATGTGTCTGCAATTCTGACACCTCTGCAGGCTTCCCATGCCTATGACCGAACTCACTACCCTGAATTGACCGCACAGTTAGAGGCGCCCATCGTGCCGGAGGACCTGTCCGTCAGCCGACCAGAGTCGCGTGACGACGACGATGATGATGACAATGACGACAACGACAAGATAAACGACCAGGACGTGGACCCAGAGAGACTGAAGGCCTTCAACGTAAGTATCTTCCCAGTTAAATGGGAGGTTACACACAGTACCACTGACAGTAGTTGGTATGTCCACGACTGGTGGATGTACCAACCACTAAGTATCTACAGTAACTGTAATACCAAGATATAGAACAAGAAACAGTCATGCCTTCAAATATCAGAGTTATCAACCAAGAATTGAGGTGTTCAAAAACTGCGAAGCTGGTGTGTTAAGTTATCCCGAAGGGCAGTTATACCGGCTATACCGATACAGATACCACACAGCATCTTGTTGTCTGTAAGCCCTCTCAACATCTCTTCATACCAGAGTACCAGTTAGATACGTCTATTATACCCGACACTACTTAAGTTAGAGATTATACCTGACACTACTTAAGTTAGGCCCTCTTTCCACTAGTCACTGATCACTGGGCAAGTGTTGATCGAGGGGGCAAAACAGGACTTGTGTGACCCTTGATTTAAAAAAAAACAAACTTTCCCTAGCCTTGTCCAGGCTTTGGAAGTGGCTAGAAAGAATAGAAATTGGCCAAATAAACAGATTTAAACAGACATGCCAGGGCATTCAGTTTGCAAAAGGAGTACGGTTCAGAGTGGTAAATGTATACCTTGGTGGACTAGCTCCCCCAGCATGTTATCTGCCTATTTGGTTAATCTCGCTTGTTTGATGCTGATGTCTTGTTTTGTTGCAGATGTTTGTCCGTCTCTTTGTGGATGAGAATCTGGACCGGATGGTGCCCATCTCTAAGCAGCCCAAGGAGAAGATCCAGGCCATCATCGAGTCGTGCAACCGGCAGTTTCCCGAGTTCAACGAGCGGGCCCGCAAGCGAATCCGAACGTACCTTAAGTCCTGCAGAAGAATGAAGCGCAACAAGGACTCCAATGGGGTGGAAACTGTAAGTACATCAATCAATAAAACCAATCAATCAATAAAGCAATTGATCAATCATTCAACTTTTTCTATTTCGTACCTCAAGTCCTATAGAAGAATGAAGAAGTGCAACAAGGGCTCAAATGCTATAAAATGGGTACCTGACTTTGGTTGGGGAGGTAAAAGACAGTGGAAGGAGAGGAATGGGCTCCACCTTCCAATACCTTAGTATGCCCTAGACCCAGTGGATTAACAAGCCACTGTCCCTATGGCCTAAAAAAAGCTATGGGGTCTTTAAAAAAAAAAAGGAGTCCTGTAGCCTTTTTGAGACTGTAGGGGTAGTGAGGTGTTGTCTACTGTGTCTAGAGGCCAGTTATGTGTGTATTGAAAGGCGGAGCCCATCCCTCTCCTTCCACTTCTTCCACTGCCATGGTGGGTGGAGTGTGGACAGTCGTGTGAAGTGCCTTTACCTCTGGCATTCTGGATCAAACACCCTGTCATTGTGCCACATGACTCTACTATGGGATCTTCACCTTTACCTTGTTCATCTCCCCCCAGTTGAGACCCACCCCACCTCACCTCACATCCGCCATGGCTGAAAGCATCCTGGCAGCAGCCTGCGAGAGCGAAGCCAAGAGACAGCAGGACCAACTCAAGGCCTTACACCAAGACGAGCCTCAAACAAAACGCATGAAAACAGACCATCATCGGGTGGGTACAGTCTTAAAGATCTGTGTGGTTTTCTTTCAAAGTAGGAAATCCAGGTGTTTTTTTTACAAGATATACATTATCTATTTATTATTTCCATGAAAAGCTATGGAAGGGACTCACTCAATCACCCACTGCTCCAGTTTGCCACTGAGTCTATTCGTCAATTTTGACGAAATCTATTCTAAAACAGATGGAAATTTTGCTGTGGTTTTGTTAGCATACTTTTTGCATAAGAAGACCATTGTCTAACTTTGCATAGGGACCACTTTTCCTTGGTCCCCTAGGTGGTCTCCTTCTTGACAAGTCTGACTGTATATCTGAATTTGTTTCAGGATGAGCCACCAGTCCTAGACTGCCACTCAGAACTTCTGCCTTACAACTCCACCTCCTACCCAAATGGAACGTCCCGCCTTGGTCTTCACAGTTATCCAAACTCACAGAGCTACCATCAGTCGTCAGTCACAAATGGTGAGGACAGTATACCACCTCAGCAAAACACACTGCGCCTAGCCCTGCACTAAACCTGTAATGTATTGTGTATTAGCTCTTTGGCAAAACATCTCATTTAAGGTCATATTCGCATATTTAAGGATGACATCCTGTCAATAGTTTTCAAGTGTTGTGTTGGAAAACATATCAGCTGCAACAGGCAAAATTCTGATGCAGTGTTGACTGCAAAAAATCTGGGTTTTGCCAACATGCTGAACAGCAACTGCTTGAGCGATAGATACATTGCAGATTCTCTTTGGAAGAAAAAAAATTTAAAACATGAAAATTTAGGACCTCTTGACAACATAGATTCTTCACAATGTCAGTGATACAATTATACATACATATGTGTAATGGAAAGCTTTTTAGCACCATGGACAGCTTGCAAAAAGAGAGAAAAAAACTGTCAATGGAAAATTCAGTACCAATTGACAATGTCAGTACTAGTCAGCACCTGGTGAGTAATATAATGATACATACACATATGTAATGGAAGGCTTTTTAGCACCATGGACAGGTACCCAATAGAATGTATTAGTTGTAAGGACTGCATAGTCAAACATACAGAGAGCATCCCTACATTGTATGTATAACATCTATGTCCATAATATCACCAGGGTCCATAATATCGCCACCTTGAGAAATAGTGTGCTTAAAGATATTTTTACTGCAACATACCCTAGGTATGTACATTTGATGTGTGAAGGAGTGCATACCAAGTATGTTGCAGGAAAAATATCTTTCAGCACACTGTTTCTCAAGGTGGTGGTATTATGGACCATGGTGATATTATGGACACAGATGTTACTTGGTACTCTGACATTTTACTGACATGACATATGAGTGATATCTGGCATATTTCCTCGCCCACACACAGGTCCCACTGATCTCAGTTTAAAGAAGAGTCCATCCAAGAGCACCTTGAACCCCAACGAGGTCGCCGCCATCAAACAGCTGATCGCCGGGTACCGGGAGTCGGCCGCGTTCCTCTACCGTTCCGCGGACGAACTGGAGCAGCTCCTCCTACAGCAGAGCTAGATGGCGCCTGCAAAACCGGTGCGGTTGGGCCGTCCTGTGTGCAATGTGGCAGTGCCTGTCTGGAAATGAACAGACAAGGAGATTGCGGTTAATTGAGTGTGTAGGGTGTCCGTCGTGCAATCACTTAGATCCTGTTTCTTACGACAGGGAGAGAAAGATGTTGACATTGTTTAATACATTGGTGTTTTCACCAAGTTAGAGACATGTGTCTTGGGCAGGGTGTGACAGGAAAAGAATGGCTAAAACCATGTGTGTGAGAGTGTGTGGCAAAATTATGCCCAACATTAATACAAAGGTGCCACCAACTATGGCCTCGGAACAAGATTGCATTACTGATTATAACAGTGATTCCGTGGAATCTGAGAGAACGCGCATCACCAGTTTTGTGACTTTGACTTTGGAATGTCTACCGATGTAGGGCTTGGATAGCACTTTTTTCCACTGCTATCTCTTGTACAAGTCTTCATGAAAAGGTCTAACGATTGTGCCTCCACAAATTGAAAGAGAAACTTAATGTTCTAATAGATCTGAGCACCTTCAATGGTATTAAAGGTGTATTATATGTTGAAGACATATTATATAGAAGAGAAATACAGATATGTCTATTAGTACTTATGGAGAGGAAACTTTATGGCACCTCCTATTTGCAGAATCTTCCTACTTTACATCGTAGCCGCAAAGTTCACCCGCATTGTTGGTTTGAAATTGGTAATAACACTACCAAGGTATGGGGAAATTTAGATATTGATCTAGTATTGTAGGCAAAGCATTGAGAGTTTTTTTTATTACTAGAGAAGATACTGGTGAGATATGAAGGTATACTGTTGATACCAGTATCAGAGAAAAGTATGGTGGTTTGCAGATGGTTTTGTAGATATGGTCTGAGGTCATAAATTTATTGATATATATATATATATAGATGAAGCTGCACTTGGCCAAAATGTCTAGTGAAATGGACGGTTTTGTAGATATCCAAAGATTGTGTTCAGGAGAAGTGTATTCTATTTTACATGAAAAATGCTGCCTCTACATTATGACATATGTGAGATGAAGTCTCATATGACTCAAAGACACCTTATTTATTTATTTGCTCATTTATTTATTTCTTGTTGAGTGCAAAAGTGATATATATATATGAACGTAAAATGTTTGTTGAGAGTTTAAGTATATTGTTGAGTTATAAAATGTCATTCCAGATTTGAGACTTAAAGTCAGTATTGTGAGTAACGTTTTGTACAGCAAAATGTTGTATAAGTTTAGAGTTCAGTGTATAGATACTAGTTTAAAAATGCCATTCCATCTGAGAGAAGGATATTGCCAGATGACACAAGCACTAGTACAATGTAGTTCCGGTTGGAACTGTAACAGTTCTTTACACTTTGTTCATCCAACTATACACACCTGCCCTTCTTTTCCACAATCTTGAAACAATGTAAACCAGAAGGAATAGCCTCAGTCATCCATGGCACTATCTATAACATTTTTGGTTAAACCAAACCAGTTCCAACAGTAAGATATTTCATTTAGGGATCAAGCATGGCGTGGTGTAGTTAAAAATGTTTGGATTTTCTGTACCATTCCTGCCTCAGTTCACTTTAGACTACTGTTCAAGTATCTAAAGAGAAAACACGGATGAATCTACTGTACCTGCTCGTATCAAAAACTTAAAGCTTGACCTCACGAGTACCTCATTTTGATTGATCTTGACCTTCCAGAAGCAAGCTACAGTAATTGTTAAGGGACCAAATTTGACATGACCTGGCCTTCATCAACTTTCTTGAAGTTCTCCTGATCAACCTTTGAAGCTTTGTGACATGTGGTCCTGATTCAAGCCAAATGTCAGCTCCCACAACCAGAGCATTTTCTGTTTGTTTTCCATTGATATTCAAATAATAAAGCATTGTCAAAATTGTATCTTCTGCAAAACAAAGTTCTAAAAATTGCCCAACAGTCATTACTATCTGTTCATAATACAGTCTGTCTGTTCCTGTTATGGAATAGGAGTTCTATACACCAACTGTACATACACATGTCTAATGGAAGGCTTTCTAGCACTATGGACAGGTAACATTACCATATGGAATGCACTACATGTACTTCTTGTGAGGACTGCATTGCCAAACGCACAGGGAACAAAGTCACATACTTAGCATGAATGAATAGAACTGTGGATTCCTAAAATGCAGTGGGCCAAATTATGGTTGACCTGTCAAGTTTGCAAGGTGGTGTTTTGGTTGTTCAATTGCGCATTTGAAAATCAAGTGATTCACTACATTTGCTCCCTATGTTGCCTGTGTTTTCATGCATATTGGTGAGAAGCAATGCTAGAACTGGTCAAAAGCAGCATTTTAGAATAGGTAACAGACTGTTTACTTGGTAAAAAGTTTTTTCATTCAATGACTAGTACAAAAAGTGATACAACTGTAATTACATCCACTGTATGTTCATACCATGATAGCTCTACACTGACATCTCAACAGAGAATTTTGTTTATGACTCTGAACTGATGTTTGTTTAGCAGTTTCTAGTGTTGGTTCTAGCCAAATGATATCTAAGCATTTGGATTGCATCACATTGTAGGTAAAACATACTGACACACAGTTGATACTTACATATATTAACTGTAATCTTTCTTATTGGACTGATTGGACTACACTTTGATTTGATTGATTGAATCCTGTATTTAACCTGGAAAAATTGTACTTAATCAATAGGGATTATTTCTGACCAAATATTCTTTATGTGCAAGAACTTGTGAAAGATTTCTTCCATACATATCATAGACTTGACTATTGTTTGAGACAAAATACAGATAAAATGCTTTGCTTCTCCTAAAAGTGGGGGCAAGTATGATTTGTATAGTCTATAGATACATGTACTAGTACATGTAACATGTATTGTTGCAGAAGTTTTCAAACATTGCAAGGAAAGCCTAATACATTTGTGTAAGGGTTTGATTTTGGTACATTCCATTCCAACTTTGTTGAATGATTGTGTATTTTACCATATGGATTTTTTTCCTTCAGGTGTCAAAGAAAGCTGCACAATCATTACACTGTGGTATATTGAAGCTTCAGACTGTATTCATATCATTTTGATGTTTTGAAAGAAAGATGGCATATTAAAGATGAAAAGACAAGATGCTGCACTTTCTGCTCATGTTGTTTTTTTTTGTTGTTGTGAAGTTTGTGAAAACTGTAATGGTAGATCTACCAAACCTCTGCTACCAAGTCCTTTTTCACAATTTCTCTCTGCAAATACAATGTGTACTAGTAGGTGTCCTGGCCTTGTAAACATAATGGTCTTACCAATGTTTTTCATATTAAGGTTATGAAAACCTTCTTAAAACATGCTGACATACAGGGAAGAATAAAATCATTTATGTGGGGAATGAATGTCCAATCATGGAGGTAAAAAAAATTACCTCCATAGTTATTCTCCTTGGCACAGTGTTATTGTTAATGTATTTCGCACATAGTTACCTTCCACAATCTCTCCAGAAAGTCATAGCCTCTACCAGGATTCGGAAACGGCTCAAGAGTACTACTATCAATCTATCATATATTAAATTTAGTATTGGCCAAAAAGAGAGATGCCAGTAGTGGGGAGTTGGTCTGCTGAGGAGTACATTTGCCGCTGCCTCCCGAAGAGGCAAACTCTACTCTCTTGCGGACCAACTCCTCTGGTATATTATCCGTCTACCTGGCCAATTAATACTTCTTCCACAACCTCTTCCGAAGCCTGGTAGAGACTAACAACCATACAAAACCCTGACTGGAAACTGCTGACAGTGCAGGTCATTGACCTTTCCAGGCCAGATGTAACCATAGTTTCTGATTCGCCTTCGTCCGAGCCAGGCGTTAACTTTAGATTTATGGCAAAATAAGAAGACTAACAAGCATAAAAATATAGAAACACTATCTTCAGAATAATACTGGATCAATAGATGGCCGTAATACTTTTCTAGTATTGAAACTTTCTGATTCTTGCTAGTTTATTGCGAATCTTGGACGCGAATAGAGGACTATTGTCACTATCATAAAGCATTGAGCCGAGTGCGCATGTCCGACCTTCGTCCGCCATCTTCACTGTGTCCAGAGAAGCGTACTTCACTTTCTCCGCTGAATTTTCACGTTTTGGAGGTACGTAACGACTTAAAATCATCTATGTTTATTACCTAGGGGTTTAGCACCTTGTCATAGATTCAGTGTTGTTCGTAGGAAACAGCCATGTGCGTTCTTTCAGGATATAACTCGTGCCGAAGATGGCATGTCGCGGTTTTTCTGAAGCAAAAGGTTGGTGAGGAGGGAGGGGGGTGAGGTCGGATGTACCAGTTTTGTAGTGGATATAAATTACTAGTATTTAGTAAATACTAGTAATCAGCTGCTAGTAATTTATAATTTTAGGGCTGCCTACTAATACTTGCAGCCGGTAACAATCTAGTAATAACTCCAGTGGACACCATTTTATTTACACCGAAGACAGGTAAATTTCAACTCAAATTTATTTTGACAACTTTGCACTTGAAAGTCAGCAAAACTCTTGGTTTTATTGAACAAAGACCTTGATACCAAAGACTAAAGATGATTGGCCAAACTTGTTTAAATACAGCAGGCAAGGAGGTTACTGTAAGACACTTGTCATACTTAATGTTTGCAGGACTCTTATATTTGCAGTTTTTGTAGTCACTTCCGTACTGCAAATTCATCATAACTGCGACTAAATAGTTTGCTGACACTCTTTCTTCTGCACCTGCTGCCAACACGAACATATAGTTCCGCGAACATGTCCATTTTCCAAGCAGTATCCAAACAGTTTAAGTACTTACAATTGTTTCTCTACCTCCAGCTCCAGCTCCCACACAAACATACACAAGGATAATTTGTATATGTATATGAATGTATATGAATTGCTGCGGAAATAAATGTCCATGTCAACACCTCTTGTAACATACTTAATGCCAATGGCATTATAATTACTTATTCAACCGATAGAGCATAACCTGTAAGTGGAAGGCTGAAAGGCTGTTTCTCTCAGTCTCTACTAGTATACATGATTTCTCTGTCTCCAGCCCCCACCATGGCAGATGTACCGGCAGGCAGGCTCCCCAAGCCCCAGATGCGGGGACTCCTCATCAGTCACCTCAAGAAGCACAGCGCCATCGCCCTCGTCTTCGCCATGGGCGTCACGCTGGCGTACAAGTTCGCCGTCGCAGATCCACGGTGAGTTAGATCAGCAGTCATGAAACGTTTTTCGTAAAAAAATGCGCATAATCCAGAGAAAGATTGCTCGACCAGTGTTCTAGCTTGAAATTTTTTTCCATCATCTCAATTTTGTTTGATGTAACATCATGTCAAGTGTCGATTGCCAGGCAATCCTATAGCTATGGCCTATGGGGTGCTAGAATTCTGGGGGACACGATCCCCTTTGCCTGCATTTTGACTGAGGGACAATTGCATTTTGCCTCGTAGACTAAGATTAGCATAATGACATGTCTTTTCATTGCTTTACATGCAAATGTGATGAGGGATGGGGCAAAGTTTTTGTCCGTCATGAGAAGCAAAATTCTGTCAGAGTGACAGAATGATGGACATTGGCTAAAACCATGCACGGGCATTGCCTTCACCATTGCTTTATTATGTATATATAATTATTAATAAATGTGTCCCTTTTTTTACTGTAGTAAGCGGAATTATGAGGAGTTCTATAAGAACTATGATGTGAAGAGGGAGTTTGAGGCCATGAAGGAGGCTGGCGTGTTCCACTCCGCTCGGCCCAGCTGGGAAAGCTCGGACGACTAACCCCACATCTGTCGCTATAGAACTGTCACTGTAGGTAAGCACAAGGTGGCATCATAGTTGTGTCACTATAATATGTCTATATAGTGGCTAGGCTAGCAAAGACAAGATTGAGAGGTCACATGCTCAATCCCTGGCATTCCTGACTAGACATTGTGTCGTTGTCCAATCAAAAAGTACAGAGAAACAGCAACAACAACAAAAATCCTGAAGAAATCAGTGCTTAAAAGTAGTTTAGGGTAATGCTTCAGTTGATTAATGTAATTAAGTTCATACTGGCGCTAAAAACATTGTGTGTCCTTTGAATAGTTTGCCAATAGGTCGGTTTGTCAAGAAATCATATGCAATGGACATGATTTTACTGCAACCTAAATACATAATGGCCGTGATGAATGTTGAATCAAAGAACACAAAATAACAAAATAATGTCTGTTTGTAAGCTTTATTCTGACATTTGTTGTTTTTTCTATTTTCCAGCTTGTGAAGAGGATTGATTGATTCTGCTCCATCCAGGAGATTGTACAAGATGTAAAACATGTTTGTCCTCCAGATTTTATGTCATTTACAAAGTAACACTATACATTGTAGCCCTGACACTGAATAAAGAATCTCATAGTGTGTAAATTTTTGGTGTTGTGTATTTTTTACATTGATATGATGGAAATGATCCTTTGCAACATTCCAACTGTTTCAAACTTGGTCCAGGTATAAAAGACATAATAACATAAATATTTTTCACATTATAACAACAAATCACACTTAGGAATTTAAATTGATGACAACATAATGGACTGCATCATTTTGTAGAGGATAACGTGGCAGCTTGTATCCATCCAACATAATTGTTTCAATGTACACTTTGAAGCAACAATGCACACTTAAGCTTTGTACATTCATACATTGCACACATAATAAGGACCTCACTTAGTTACACAATTGCCTTCAGTTGTTCATTGGTATCCATGTGGCTTTGATAATGAGTTTTGGTTGAAAATCTACAGTATAATGTCTGTTTTGCATATTGTGTGGTTAACAGCCTAAAACACCAGTTTTGTACAGTAGATAGAAGCTGCTTAAGCCTAGACTGTAACTTTACTGTGTAAGGTTTGTTGAACCCCTACTCTTCAATGGGAGATTTTTAATGTTCTGGAGGTGTTGCTCTCCTCAAACATGGGGCCCCCAGTCTATTGAGACTGAATCTTTGTGAAGCAGTTCCTGTAAACATGATAGAAACTGCCCCAAAGTGACCTGATTGGATTCCAGAGATGGTGGTTGCACATAGCACAAAATGTATATCTTTCCCTTAGTCCGATTATTCCACCATTGGGCCACCACAGATGGCCTGACAACCAGTTTTGCCCACCCTTCTCTGTTTTCTGTTCTTACTGTTTCACTATAGTGTCATGCTTTAGTCTATATATTCTCTGAAGTTATCCTCCCATTGACATAATAGTACCTTGTAAGGTAAATGAGAAGTAACCCACTTTTTGGCTCCTGCCTTAGCTCAAAAGTCTTGGTACATTATACTTAAATCCTTAACCGTTAGTTAAATCTCCACCTATATTGCAAGCTGTGTAAGGCCCATAAATTAGCCTCGAACCCTCAGTCTTGCTAGCTTTTGTCCACTTTCAACTTTTAGCTGTTGGAAATGGACTAAAGCCAACAAGGCTCCAGGCTTCCAAAATTAGTAGGGCTGATCCAAACACTGAAACAGCCTTTCCACTTGAATATATTGCATTTATATTTATATACATGTAACATTAGATGTGGTATGTGACTTACTGCTTATAAAAAGCAGGGATTAACTGATTAAGGGGATTTGACCATGTTAAGGGTAACATTTCCTATTGAATCTGATTGAATCAGGCACATGGATTCTATGGCGGCCAAACTCCCCTGACATTATTTTCCTTGGTTTTTATTCCTCAATACCACTGGGTGGGATTGACTTTTCGGTGAGCTTGTATTTTGTTCTCGTAGAACTTTTTCTTGGCTTTCCTAATTTTCCTTTGGATCTTGTTTCGTAGGCTGCGCCAGGCACTGTCATGTTTATTTGGCTAGCTTTCACTATTTTTCAGCCACTTAGTTAGCCTGGTGCAGACTACCCTAGTGACCAAATTAAACCTAACAGTCAGAACCCGAGCGTCTGGCCAGGGGAATCTTGTTGATCTCCTTGGTCTTCTCCACGAAGTGACTGAGCATTTTGATCTGGAAATCGTCCATGTAGAACTCCTGGGCCATCTGCCGTGGCGTCATCTTCAGCACCTCGGATCCCGTGATGCCCTGGGCGTGGAAGGACTGGACCGTGTCCTCGCTGAAGTGGAAGTAGCGGAGTAACCGGGTCATGTCCTGGGCGGAGAAGTCTAGGATGTTGTAATCCTTGGGCGGGATGGTCTTCTCCGCTGCTGTCGGGTCGCTGAAGCCTGAATCTGGAAGAAATAAGAAAGTGAAAGTTTATTTCAAATTCATTTCCGGTGGCTAATTGCAAGAACATGATAACAAAATGAACAGTAAAAATGATAATAAGTAAAGCTAATGCTACTTTGTGTATAGTTCTTGTTGGGTTTGATTTCTTTCCTGTGTGCAGTGGAGTATGAAACTGCCGACATTTTGCGGGATGTATGAATTGGGAGGTTAATAGAAATGCAGTTTTGGTGACCATTTCAAATGAGATTCAACATGCAAGTGGGTTAGTACAGTTTGTCCATAACTTTGTCCATATCAACCTTTCCATTATCTAGAGTCACAGGACGTGAGAGGGAAAGGTGTAACCACAGAGTGACTAGCCTTTTTGGAGGGGTAGCGAATCTTGGGGAGCGGACTAAAGCTAACGGACTAAAGGACTCCAGGCTACAGAGTGACAGGTCTGAGGAAGGTCGAATTGGAGGTCAAAATTTTTTCCTTGCAGGCTACGGTGTAGTCAGTACCAGTAGAATATGCACAGAATCAGCAATTCACATTAATGAGTGAAGAGTGAAGGATGAAATCTACAACAACCTTGAATATGTCATACAGCTGTAAAATCTTTTATGTCTTGTTTGTATAAATTGTGTGACCATTGCCAATAGGCATGAAAGATTCTCTGTTGTTCTGAGTTTACTTTACAGTGTGACAAACACTCTTGTCACACTTGTTTTCACATTCCACAGACTGTACATACCACCGTCGCCTGTTTACAGGAGGTCAAGGTCCAGAACTTTTCTCTCCTCTTATCAGAAAGAAAGCAGTCAAGTTCATGGCTAGGTCACTGAACAACTAAACAATCTAAACAGGACTGGAACCGTGGCTAACAACGATGACTAGGGCTGCGTACCTAAACGTAACATCAGGTACAGGTACAGGTACTGGTACAAAGGTTTAGGTACAGGTCCGGACCTGTACCTGTACCTGAACAATTTGACAAATTAACACGTGTTCTTCACTTTTTCAATCATGACACAGAAACAATAATAAAGTGTTGGAGGGAAGGGAAAATGACTGACCTCTGACCTGATTTGAGTTTGTTGACCAATCACAACCCTGGATCAGCCACACTCTCGCGATGTCTCGTGAGACTGAGGATCTCAAATCAATCGACGGTGTTTACGTCTTTTCCAGTGCTAATTTTTCGTCTTTGTGGTAGGATTTACCTATCTTTAGTCATATACATGGTGTAAACTAGCTATTTCGGTATATACTCGTTACTTCATGATCCGGTATTTTGGACCTGTACCGAAACGATTTTTACGGTATTGGACCGGTACAGTGTACCGGTCCGCAGCCCTAACGATGACCATAGTATCACATTTTAAAGTACTGCTGTCTCTATGAATTACTCTCCAAGCAGTTTAAGGTTAGGCCTGTTCGGACTTCTTTACCTTCTTTAACTTTGCTTTCTATTTGCTCAGATTTTCATTGGCTATCTTGGTGTGCGCAAAATAGAAAACACGAAAAATCGCCTGCAAACTTCTAAAATTTCCAAAAATAAGCTTAAGCGCAAGACAGAGATCACACAATACAAGAGTTAGTACAGTACATACATGTACCTGTGCTAGTAGTACTTATAGTAGAAGTCCTAGTGAGTCCCTGCTGGGTGTCGTCAGGTCTGTGCCCACGGCGTGAGGCTGGTCGGGGAAACTGTTTCAGGGACGTCACAGTCCCGAACTCAGACTCCCTGTTCATGTCCAAATACTCATCACTGCTGTCGTCTGTAGTTATGGTGGATGGAATATAGATGAATTGAATACTCTCAAACCCTCTTAGCATTTAATTTGGTAACTGAAACACGTGTTTGGAAAAAAAGCAACACATGCAAGCAATTGAGACTAGTCCAACCTGTGTACAAGTGACCGCCTCTGTATATATATATATAAGGACCAACTGATCACTTTTTGGTTGACCCTTTGATACTAGTACTCTTTCCTATTGGTACAAGTATCTAAGAATCATGCACTGGTAGTCAACAGTGACCACATGTCCCACAAAGATCAGTAAGTGGTCATGTATTACATATTTGAGATGGCTAGCCCCGGGTCCAAAATGGGCCGGCAAATGTTATACACAGGACATTTCTAAGTCTACAGTTTACAACAAAGATACAGTTTACACCTTACCGTCATCGTCTGAAAACTCCACTGCCCGTGACGCGGTCGGTGACGTCATGGGCGTGACGTAACTGCCGTCGCTGTCGCCCTCCTCGGACACGTGAGACAGCTGTTTGGACAGAGCTGTCTTCATGAACTGTGCGGGGAGGGACATGGCCGCGGCCGGGTCGGTGGGAGAACACACCGGCGTCAGGTAGTCGTCGTCCTCGTCACTGCTGTCTATCCACTCGTACTCGTCAGGGTCCCTAAGCCTACGGATACAGAAACAACAGGAGAAACAGGTGAAATGTACTGTAAACTTATTTTTGTAAACATAAGACTTGCTCATGTCAGAAAGTCATCCCTGCTGCCTATTTACTCGTATTCATCCGCGTCCCTACAGGAACGGGAAAAGTTATTAAGTCCTTCCCACACCTTAATTCCCGTACTCTTGCCCAAAAGCCGAGTGCTAGGTAGAGGAAACAGTATGTACTGCGCTTTAAGTCTTTGGTGTAACCCTGCCGTGGATCAAACTCCCGATGCAAGGCGAACACTCTACCCACTTGGCTATTGCACCGGTTGCAAACAAATGTCAGGCAGTTAATGCTTACCTTATCTCATCTTCTGTGGGGGACCTTGGGCTATGACTTCTAGCTTCACACCCTGTCTGCTGACCACTCTCGCTGCTTACTTGAGGGGGTGTTTGTGCTCGTGGCTGTTTCTGAGTTTGTGGGGTTGTCTGTTTCTGAGTTTGTGGGGGTGTCTGTATCTGAGTCTGTATCTGAGTCTGTGTCTGTGTCTCGTCGGTTCCTTCCGCGCCTGTCGTCGTCACTGTTTTCGGGTCTGGGTGTTCTCTTGGGCTCAGTGGCCCCTCTTTCACCCGTTTCATCAACTTCTTGAATCCTTTCTTGATGCGCAACTTCGACGGTTTGGCGGGAAGGGTGCTCGTTTGGAAGCCAAGGGCACCGGAGTCCCCACGACCTTGAGCTCCCAGCCAGTCATCAGGGAGGGAGGCCTGGCGCGGCCGGCCCGTTACTACTACAGGTTTAGGCCCCGCCTCCGATCCATGCTTGGGCACTGGCGGGACTTTGACTTCGGTTGGGGACGTGGCTTCCACATCGGGGGTACTGAAGGACCTAACTCCCCGGGGGCGAGGAGGGACGGGGGGCACCATCTCAATGTCTTCATAAGCGGACACCAGCGTACGTTTCTCTAGGTAGATGTGCTCCGGTAGTCTTTCAATGGGGTAGTACTTGATCTTGACTTTGTCGTCAAGTTCCGTGTAAAGCTTTACTAAGTGTTTGACCTTCAGACCTGCGTGCAGGGGGATCTCGAATATCGGTTTGTCCGGAGATTCGTTGTCGTACTCGCTCGCAACGACGTAACCCTCGTCGTATATCCCCTCCACGGTTATCGTGTCCATGTAGGCGAGGGTCTTGTCGGGGAACCTCGGGTCTCCTCTGACTAGCCCTAGTCTTACCGGCAGTTCTGGGCGACCGTTCTGAAACAGTTCTCTCAACGTAAACTCCGACTTCTGCTTCTCCTCCAAGATTTCCTCAAACGGACAGACCATGGAGAGGGGGATTCTGATCGGTTCTACTTGGAGCCGGCCGCTTTCCGTCCTCTGTTTGCGCGTGCACAGGAGATACTCCACGTGCCCGCTGGGCTGCCGGCTGCACGGGACTTTCCCCTTCTTACCCGCCGGCGTGATGACGTCGTCCAGGAAGACCGAGTCCAGGTCCGGATGCGAAACGGGAACAGTTTTCGTGGCACGAACTTTCCCCTCCGTCTCGGATATGTACAAGTCGTGAACCGTCGGATAAACTTGCGGCCTCTTCTCGAAAACCCCGCGGTAGCTTTCCCTGATGGCGACCTGGATTCAAGATTCAAGATGTATTTATTGAACATCGCAGTGGGGGTACCACTGAATTACATTCAATTCACAGTAGAGGTTTAACAATTGTAACAGCATACGATATTGCACATAACCAGCTTTTGTCCAGTATTGCACTTGATATCAATGAGTTGCCATGACAAGGGACAAATTCCTTGGTCATACCTTTATTCTAAAGTCAATGAAAGAACAAAAAGCATAGGGGGTCTAAATCACAGCATAGGGGGTCCAAATCACAGCATATGGGCCCCTGCACTCAAACAGGCTAGTCAGAACCCTGAATACATATGACATAGTCCTTGTACCCTGGTGGCCTGGTCCCGCGCTAACACCGTCCGGACGGTCAGGTCGTAGTACACGGACAGGCGGACGCCCTTCTGGATCCTGACCGCCGTGCCCTTGGGTTGGAACGTTCCCTCGACTGTCTCCACCAGGACGGGGAAACCCTGCCCGTACCTGTCGTGGGGTTTAAAATCATCTTCATTATGTACTTGCTGATTCTCCCTGAGCACAAAGGCCAGCTAACATCTAAAATTTGTGACCATAAGCATGTCCAGATCACGAGATATCGAACTACAAGTTCGGCTGCAGTGCCATAACAAGCCGTCTGGGGGCCCAAAATGTAATCATTTCGAGGACTCATCAAAACGTATACGTACCCACCTGCCAAATGTCGAGACAATCCATTCAAGCCGAATCGAGTTATCGTGTTGAAGCACAGACACACACACACACACACACACACACAGAGAGAGAGAGAGAGAGAGAGAGAGACTAAACACACACACACACACACACACACACACAACAAACAAACGCACACGCGCACTCTGTCGTTAACTTCTGGCGAATGTAACAAACAAACAAAAAACAAACAAACAAACAAACAAACAAACCTGCGGCACAGCTCTGACAGGTCCATGGGTTGTTGGAAGTCCTCCCCTCCTGTCGTGACTGGTCGTACGAAGATCGGCCAGCTGACGGGAAGAGTCTTGCGCATGCCGCCGTGACGGGTCACGATCTCCACCTCTCTGTGAGGCTGACCTGAATGAGAGAAAGTGAAAAGGGTAATTTCAAACGTGTTTTGATCACAAACAAAGGGAAAGAACCCGTACATACTGTACGTCAAATATGCCTTCAAGTACCGGAGTTATCAACCAAGATTTGAGGTGTTCAAGATATGAATCCTCGAACTATCGTAGAGTGCACTCGCTGCCACCAAGTACAGTAGGGGCATCCTCACTAGATAGCTTTAAACAATGTTTAGACGTGACAGTGTGACAGTGTGACAGGTCGTTCGGTGTAATGTAGCCAGCCCGCCGCACCGCGTGCCTGCGAAGCTGGTGTGTTACGCCGAGGGGCGGTTATACCGGCTATACAGATACAGATATAGATGCACTGGAAGACGCAATACATTGCATCTAACTGCCCCTCCTACGTACGATCACGAAAGGACGGAGATACAGCATATAGGAAACAGCAAGTCCGAACCCGGAAGTGACTGTTGGTGGTTCTTTACATGCCAGAGAATGCCATTCGACTAGATTATCCGTTACTGTTTCTGCAACAGCCAATCTGTATATCATTATTAGTCCTTAGCTTTAATTTGTCTATCATATCGGCTTCGTAAGGTGCTGTTGTTGTTGTTGTCCTTGTTTAACGTCTAATATATCGCTAGACGTGGTCACTTGGTGCTCGTTTTCTTTTGGGTATGGCCTCGTCATAAGGGCCAGTTAACATTCGTCGTATTAGCTATCTTGTATAAGTCACAAATTGAGGGTATTCTTGTGGTAGCCGTACATGCGTCGTGCAAACCTCAACTGTCCTGTTACAGAAAAGGCTGTCTCAGATCTTTGTTGGTTTTGCCACAGCCTGCCTGGAAATCTTGCGGCATCAGAATCGTGCCGCGACCCACGACGAAAGTGGCGCGCCCCTATTTTGTAACAACTGCGGTAACAAGTCTGACGATCCCCCTGCCGTATTTACTGTATACAACTACAGTCAAGAGTTTCAAGGAAACAATATTTTCAAACAGTCCTTCCCTGGCTTGATAAAAATTGCTATGAAACGCACTTGAAGAACAGCTGACACACTTAGGTGAAAAGTGTAAGTGCTCATTATAATCTACTTTCAATCACGGTATATACATTTAGGTTTCGGTCACGAACGTAGTACGATCGCCGTTCGGTGTCAAACTGAGGGCATGTTTTGGATAGTCGTGCAAGTGACCTGCAAAATTCGGCTGTCTTGTTGAGGAAAAGGTTGTCTTTGATCCTTGTCGGCTGTAGGTTCTGATACAGACTGTTTGAAAATCCAAAATCGCACGACCGTCGGACCTGCAACGAATGAACGTGACCGCACCGTAACGAAGTTATTTATTTCCGGGTTGGAGCCGAGCAGAGACTCCCACGCCTTACCTCTCAGCCTGGGCGCGTGCTTCGCCGGTAGAATCTTGATCACGTCGCCGATGGAGAAGTCCCGGTCAATGTTGGTGGCGTACAGGCCCTCCGCCACCTCAACTGTGGCGGGAATCTCGTGTTCGGACACGAACTGCTCCAGAGTCATGACTGGGTCCTTCGCCGCCGCCATTGTTCTACCCTAATCTCCTAGCAGATCTTTCGGTGGCTGAGAAGACAGTATCGAGTCGGCCAGGCAGTTACCATTTGCCATGCAGTTACTATTTGCCACTGGCGTATAAAAGAGATACCAGTACAAAAAGATAGCGCCTAGAACAGCCTAAACCTTTGCTGGAAGATAGTATTGTTCCTCAGGGTTAATAAGTCCCCGCCCGCCGACCTGTAGCACCTGAGGAGCTGTTGAAAGTGTAAACAAAATTCTCGGTCGGGTCAGACTCGACAGGTAAGGCACGGAGCGGTGACAGCCAATCGCGCTTGTGTGGCCCACAACGGTCACGGAACAAAGTCGCATGACGCAAAGAAAGTACACAACAGGTGTTAATTACAATGAGCTCATGATTTGGCAACTACCAAACTTACGTACAAATATCAAGTAATGGCACGGAAAGAGGAACAGAAACAAAGATTCTACCTTTGGTTTCACTGTGTAAACTTAGCAGTAAAAAAACATGTCTTACGTGTCAAGCAGAGGCCAACTTCCTCGTCGTGACGTGCAGAAATGTACGTCTTTTCTCCACTATATATACCTGGCTTATATATACCTTGTATACCTAAGATTAAGGGCGGTTGATATTTGTGTGCTTGTGACTTGAAAATATGAAAAGCGTTTTTAATTTAATAGGTTGATTTTGTCAACATTAAAAGGCTATGCACCGAAATGTACATATTGTAAAGTATGGTTTAACATTCCCTATCTATCATTACATCTATGCTGGGGAATTCGAACTTGCCCTGTGCCACGCCAAATATTGACTCTACCTTTCTGAATTCTACTATCCAGAACCCCCTTGGAACTCCTGGCGGAAAGAATAACACAAATGGGAGTTTAACGGTGACTTAAATCTACACCTTTCAATGAGGAAACGATCTTGACAAAAACAGCAGTCAAGTGCAGAGACCCTGAAGTCCCCGTCACTAACGTCATGTTTACAGAAACAGTTCTGCTTTTCCTGCAACCGCAGCAACCACCAAAACATCTGCACAACAAACAGACGCACTGTACACTGGTCTTTATTGCACAGACAGAGATTCATAACTGTATTGTCGGAAGTGTCTCCGTAAAAATATTACTATTGTTTGCTTTCTATCAAGAATTGCGGAAGTCAGTGAACTATCTTATGTTTATCAACATTGTGACCTTACTCCTATCCTTTTGTATGTTGCATTCTTGTTATTGTCATTTGTATAAGAATAACAAAAAGTTATTTCTGCTAGCTGTTTGTACGTATACACGTCTGAATTCAGTTCGTACCTGTGGGAAAGTTTGTACATGTCGGATCTCACCCACAATGCTTCCGCATTATAAAAAAGTTTGTCAAAATTCGAAGACGTAGATTTATTTAACGAGTCTTGCTATTTTCGCTTGAAGTGAGCGATCCACAGATTTACAATTGCAATGACCCACCTCACATACTTTGAAAAATATTCTAGTCTGTACTTTGATACGATGTCTATTGTTCTTGTTTGTTTTCGTTTTAATCTTTTCCGCCCACATTAGGTCAGTCTGTCAGGGGACGTTCACAGTGCTTTTATAGGTCCGAGCAACATGCGCGATGTGAGACGACGCCCTTTATTTCTCATTTAGAATTTCATAAAAAACGACTTTTTGTGTTTTGTTGTCTTCTTCTAAATCATACTTTTATATTGAGCCTCAAATTCCACTTAGAAAATTAAGGGTCACCCGAATCGAATTTTACTCGCTCAACGGTCGTTCAGCGATCGCCATCTAGTGTCGGGGGCCTATAATTTATAAAGGCAAGTTTCAAACGTTTTGTGTGTATTTTGTACATTCATTTTTTTGATTGTATCATATTTCAATCATGAAATCAATCTTTGCTGTGCCTCAGATGTGATTTCGCCTGTCCGACCTTCCTGGTCACGGCGCCGAACATTCTGGACATGCCCTGCACCAGGGAACTGCCCCGGTCTTTAGCTGTGGTGAGGGTCGGGAAACCGCCGGTTTGCGCAGGGAGCGTCTTGCTGCCCCAGTGGTGCTGGTGATCAGAGTCGCTCTCCGACAGCGGCCTGGCGCGGGGCTGGTGTAGATCTAAGCGTCCCGAATCTGTAGGGTGGAACGTCTGCCTCCAATTTTTGTTCGGAGTCTCCGGGAGTTTGCGACGTCGCTGAAGTGATGCCTGCCGTAGCGGGGCCGCTGGGATGTCTTGTTTGGACGGATCGTTGTCAGAAAAACTTCCAATGGTTCTCTCGGCGGATGTGGAGGGACGGCGGATACTAGACCGGCGCGGCGGTAGGGGAGGAGGCGTGAGGATGGTTTCGTAAGTTGTGACGCTCGTCAGTTTCTCGTTGTACACGTCTACGGGCAAGAACTCGACTAGGTGTTGGGCAACGGCGCGTGGGGTGACGTGATCCTGCGTCCTCTGGCAAAGCTTGACCTTGACGTCCCCGTGCGTGGGCATTTCGAACGCCGACGACGTCATCGATTCGTCATCAGAGCGCCTGCGCAGTTCACTCACCACCAAGTACGTGTCCGTGTACTCGCCACGGACCGAAATGGTGCCGAGGGCGGACAGGCGGTCTTCGGGAAATCTCGGGTCACTTCGGACAACTTCGACATTTATCGGCAACTCGGGAAACGCGTGGACAAGTTCCCCGAGCGTGTATCCCTGTTTGTGCGTTGCCATGGCAACCGTAGCGTCCAAACACTCTTCAAACAAACAGTCGGCGAAGAGGGGAATTCGGATCGGGATTTTGTCGCCCGTGGTCCTGTCTCTGCGCATGCACAGTAGAAAGTCCACCTGTTCTGCAGAACTTGAACTCGAAGGCGCTTTTCCGACGACGTTAGTTGGGGTTAGTACGTCATCGACGCTAATGCTGTCCAACCTGCCAAGAGAAGACATCTTTGGCGATCTCAAGACTTTGACTTCCTTATCCACAGCCGAGGCGTACAGGTCGGAAGCAGACAGATACCTCTTGGGTTTCAGTCGAAACCTTCCCTGGTATCCCTTCCTGATTGCCAGCTTCGTGTCCCCACTTTCAGCTAAAAGCATCTTAACACTCTTACTCGTGTACACCACCAACTCACTACCGACTGTCAAACGGACATGATCAGATTCAAACCGTCCCTCCGTCACTGTGACCTCCACCGGAAAAACCGCTCCCCTTTTCGTCAGCAGCTCGCGAAGGCTCATGGGAGGTTGGAAGACGGTGTTGTCGACCGAACGCCGGACGGAAGTGACGTAGAGGTCGGAGTAGACGGAGTGGGTCCTCACCTCTCCCGTCCCTGACGTCACGATGTCCACTACGTCATAAGGAGGAGCGCCATCAGATGGGTCGTACCCTTTTTTGAAAAGAAAAATAAAATAAAACAAGCAATTAATTCTTTGTTTGCAAACTCATGACCGAAGGCGAATTGCTTTTAATACAGTCAAAGATAGTACAATACAATACTAGGAAACAGACGACTATTATGAGGTTTGACTTCTTCTTTTAAGGCAGTTGAAAAAGAACATGACAATAGACAAGTATTGATAATATGATATAGCATAATATGCTTCTTCGCAATACCGTGACCTTTAATTTAAGAGACTATAGCTATTTGAGTAACAGAAGTCGGAAATGACCAAACGAACGGACAATAACCATATAGCAGTACTTGGCCCATGTCTGTGTAAAATGTAATTCATAAGGACTTTAAAACGATGTATCTTTCTTATATGCTTTTTTACCCTTACCAATTTAACCCTCCTTTGAATAAGCGAAGTTCAAGCAAACTTCTCAACGGTCCGTGCAAGGTAGGCACAGCCCAGAAGTTAAACATTATTGGAATGTAGACGACAAACAAGTTGTTAGGTTAGTCAAACAACGCGTGAAACTGTTTTTAATTCATACGTGCTTGGTCTGAAATCAACTAAGTAGATACGATCAGAATGATCTAGTTGGAAGGGTTAGTTCGAGGAGACTGGATTTCAGAGTTCAGTTAGCAGGGAGGACGACATTTTGACACAGCACTATACGTACCGAAACACATTTCGACGCCGCCTGCTTTCTAATTTCACCTTACATTTTTCACATTCCTAACAATTATTTCGATTAGCGTTCCCTTGCCCTAATAATAAAAATAAAAAAGGAACTGATGTTTTATTCCATGTTGGTTATGAGGGCTAAGTTCACTAAGTACAGAATTGATATATCACTGCCCCCGATTTAAAAGGAAGCCGAAAATAATTCACTAGCGATATGTAGCTCTATGGATGGAAAAAAAATACACCCAAACAATAGATTAATAGGTCAGGTTCACCGATTCTCTAGCTTTCAGTTTGCGTGTTTAATGTCTTAACGTCGTTAAGGAAGTAATCAAATACCACTGAGGAGGTCTCATCTAAACTTCCTATACTCACCCCTCGGTCTGGACCGTCCTTTGGGCGGAAGAATCTTTATGACGTCCCCCAGAGAAAAGTCGCCGATGACGTCAGTAGAGTAGATTCCCTCCGTAACCCTGACAACCGCGGGAAGTTGGTGATTTCTGACGAACTGTTCTAAAGACATGGGGCCACCTGATGCCCCCGCCATTTTGGATTCCGCCATCTTTTTTTATGAGACCTTTAAGTTTATTCAGTGTCAAAGAACGTAAGTAGTGCAGTACCTACCACAAAGTGGTGGACTAGAACATACCTCGTAAAGTTTTGATGATAGGGACGTTTGAAAACTCCTTAGAATAAAATATAGCATTAAATACGTCGATGTGGTTTGACTTGTTTGGTGATTTTTTTCCCTTGCATGTGTCAAATCTCGTACCAGCAAAGAAGTGAAAGAAGTCTCGATATTTTACGTTTTTCACGAGTGGCTTACAAAATTCTGTTCTTTTACCATTCATTCTCTTTTCTTCATTCCATACTTTTGTATAAATCAATTGTAACAAGCAAGGGGCCAGCTCCTGGCCTGAGCACTTAGGAAGGCACGTAAGCAGGACTAGTTATCTTCCTTAATTCCAATTCCAAACAAAGTTGTTTTCCTCCTGTCGAGGTATGCAGTACTTTGGTCATTCTGAAGTGCTCATGAGTCTAAAGTACACATTCCGCAACCACAACGATATAGTATCGCATCTACTCGTACCAGGTTTCAGAGAGGCGGCTGGAAATAGTAGAAAAGAAACACTTTTCATTAAAATAACTTTATTTGAAGGAGTTATGGCATGGTTTCCACCTATTTTCATCGTCCCCTCTTCATCTGCAGCTTTAGGTGTCTGGTAAACGTTGGATAGAAAATATTCTGATCAATAGTCATGGTAGGGGTCAAAGGGCAATGATGTAGTATGGTGCCTGTGCACTGAGTGGAGAGTGATTGACTAAGGTTTTAAACGATATGAATGGACAAATCTTACACATACGTACAAGTTTTGTATTCCATACATACTCGTATTTAGGAGGTTAAAATAAAGGGAAAAGGCTGCATGCAAAGAATTTCACGCATGCATAATGTGCTCCTGATTTTATGTGAATATGTCAAACGTCAAACTTTATTAAAATCAACTTGACTATCTTACATTTTCCACGCAGGGATGTTTCTTGTAAAACCATACATTTGTCTCCTGAGTGACAACATTCGTGACATTGCACTTTGAAGAACCTGACTCTTACAACTTTGTTTGCCGTCCTGAGAACTATTACTGTAACAGCAGCTATGCAGCATTTTATTACTGCTTACAACCTCTTTCCACCTTTAACCTGAGCGATTAAAGATGTGTCACATCACGTAACAAATTTCATCGATAAAGAACGCATCCTTTATATTTTAAAGTCAGTATATTTTGTGTTTTGTCTTTTAAATCGGCCTTTTACATCGTGCATCGTGTTCCAATTACAAAATTAAGGGTGGCACAAATTCATGATGGATGCATGAGGATGGGTCGTGGCACTTTGGTGAGGTACAGTAGAGTATGCCATTATGTCAGGTTCCGACAGTCTGAAAGTGTTCGTCGTGAAAGCTAAGTCTGAGCGAGTCTCCTCCCGTTCTGTTGATGTGGTCCTTCCAGTCTCCCGCCGTCAGACGGCTCTCCGGCTGGTGCGCCCAGCAACACGCCATGACGGCCGTCCACTTGTTGTAGTCCCTGGGTAGAAATCTTTTACGGTTTGTTTTTTTTTGCTGTATTTTGAGTCATATTTTTACATTGTGCATTGTGTTCCAATTATAAAATCAAGGGTTGCACAAATCCATGGAACCCTGTGCATCTTGTGGAAAAGGGGTCCTACAAAGTTGTCGTTGTGTTGGCTACAATCTGAATACAGTTGTGGTAACGCCAGCATGTCAGGTACCGACAGCGTGGAAGTGTTCTTCGTGAAAGCTAAGTCTGAGCGAGTCTCCTCCCGTTCTGTTGATGTGTTCCTTCCAGTCTCCCGCCGTCAGACGACTCTCCGGCTGGTGCGCCCAGCAACACGCCATGACGGCCGTCCACTTGTTGTAGTCCCTGGGCTCCCGAATGTAGGCGCCGCCCTCGCACGGGTCCTCCGGTGCCCTCGGACGGCGTTTGTTGCAGACGAAGTCCTTCAGTTCCGAGAACGTCTTGATGTTCTTGTCCTCATCCAGGTAGGCGGTTCCCGGGTAGCAGATCTCCCACATCATGAGACCTGGGAAAATGCAGGATAGACAGAAGATACATGTAGTCAGAAGTTCAAATGTGAAGTTAATTCTTTCCTCAGCGCACAATGGTAACGTGCTGACTACCACCGACAGTCTAACTGCTAATGCTGTACGAAAGTTTATTTGAATAAAACAAATGCAGATGGCTGGGTGGTCCTCAAAATATGCATTGAACCACGTCGTGTGAGATATCGATAGCAATTGATTTATTATCGTCTTATTGGAGTTGAATTTCATACGGTTTAAGCACAAGTGTTGTATTTGTGGTGTCTTGGTACAAAATTGACATAAAAAAGGAAACGTCTTGAATCAAAAAGAGCTTTTTAATCCAAGTTGCACTAACTCACGCACACCTACCTACGGCGTACATGTCGGACTCCGTGACGTAGTCCTGTCCCTTCAGGACCTCCGGCGCCAGGTAGATGTAACCCCCCGCTTCTGTCGTGCCGAAGGACCCCGGGTGCGGCAGGCTGGCGGCACGGGGCTTCCCGATGTTCGTGAGCTTCACAATGTCATTACAGTCAACCTGAGGATAGAAATACAGCTGGGTAGTTGTTATGCAATCGGTGCACGTTTGGCTGTCTTACGGCAATTGGTTCTGTCACAGCCTTCGTCCACGACCTCACACCTTTGCCAAATGATGTTAACCTGACGATCAAACACACACACACACACACACACACACATACACACACACACACACACACACACACACACACACACACACACACACACACACACACACACACACACACACACACACACACACACACACACACATACACACACGAGCGCTGCCGAAAACATATGACATACCGCGACAGTGCTGAGTGACAAGTCCAGATGCACCAGCCCCTTGCTGTGCAGATACTCCAGTCCGTTCACAACCTCCGTCATGGTTCCCAGCAACACGTCATAGGGCGCGTAGGCGTTCTTCATGAGCGCTGATTGGTGGACGTCGGAGATGCGTGTGCGCAGGTCCGTCACCACGGGCGTGAAGACGAGGCAGGGGAGACTGGAGATCCGCGAGAAGCCGCTCAGGTGGATCAGGTTCTCGTGTTTCTTCACCTTTCTGGAAAAAAGTACGTACGACACATACCATTTTCTTGAAGGCACCCAAAGCCATTGCGGGGCTGTAAAACTGGACTTTCATAGTCAATTTGAGTCAGTCTGCTTTTTCTTTTGATGTAGTAAGCGAATCAATCTATCTCATAGCATACTGATATCTGTGCAAAGTGGACTCCTCGCTTAGATTGTTTTGGGGATACTTCAAACGATTCAAGTATGACATGCTGACGAAAATCTAATAAGAAATTGCAGTAAATTTCAGTATCAGACAGATTTCCTCGTCATCCAGAATATATTCTTTTTTGCTTCATTTTGTTTGTGTAAGTATTCATGCTTGTAGAGAGCACTCAAACGATTCCCAGAAGATACACATCACACTGAGCAAATTCGTAAAAAAATACCTGAAGATGTCTTCCTCTTGCAGGAACTCCGTCACGTTTCTGTGAGTGACCTTCCCGCCGAACACTTTGATGGTGACGCTGGCAGGCTTCCCCCCGGCCGCACCCGCCTGCTGAGGCCGCATCTCTCCCCGCTTCAGCTCGGCACGGAGACCCGAGCAGACAGGACCTTCGTACACATCCTGTAACATACAGGGATGGTCGGAGTGTATCTTTTAGGTTGCACACAAACACGCCATTTAAAAGAATTGGTTGAGAGTTAAGCCCTCGCCACACATAGCTGACCATGGCCTCCCAATCTTCCCCAGATCATTGTTGGGTGTTGATCCGTGAGGTTGTGTACTAGTATTAGCCAGTCTTAAGAAGTCGCCTAGGCCAGCCTGCTACGAATGTTGCCACAATCAAACTTGTCATTGGTAATGTCATATTCTGCTTGGATACGATCAGAGGAGAGAACTGGAGCTAGAATATGATGGATTCGTCGCAACTCCCTACCCATTGCCGATCTTAGGTTTGAGTGTTTGGGAGCAAAGTCGCGGGAAGGCCCTGATTGTGTGACAGGTACACATCGATCAAAACAAAGAAAATCACATACATTGTACATGTATACACAAACGGTCGCTAAAGAAGGAAATATCAACGAGCAAACCATACCCGAGTGGCGTAATCCAAGGTTTGTGGGTCTATGTCGGGAGCCCAGAGTTCTTCGACCCAAAACGCCTTCAGTCTTCGGTGAAAATTGTCCATGACTTGGAGGAGCGGATGGTAATATATGGAGTAGACCTGGAACAGCAGGGGTAAGGAGGAAAGAATATTGTTTTTGCATTGTTTCGTCTTCTTCTCCAAACATATTAGGTCAATGACCTGGACCAGGCGTCTGTCGCCATGATTACTGGTTCTGTACTGTAGCAGTCACTCTGTAGTGGTGTTGGATTATGTTATGTAGCAATATACCAGAATATTGTTTTGTCACCATATACTAAGTATGAATGTGAGTAAGAATCGACAGAACAGTAGCTCGTTTAGGCTTTGTAAATTATCCATTTGCTTTGCATGCAAATGTTATCATTCTAGTTTTATTTGAATCCCAATATGTTTGACCCTGACCTTTTCATCCCTGGCGTCTTCGTTCAGGTCCTTAACCAGGTCCAGGTCCAGCTGGATCTGTTTGGGCACGACCTCCTGCAGCTGTTCCAGGCAGTAGTAGGCCGGCTTCAGCTGGCTCCTCACGTACTCCCGCAACTCGCTACCCCTCACGAACTGCTCCAGCTCCTTCAGGGCCATGCGGCTCAAGTAACCGTACCTAGAATAAAGCGTGATGATGATAAAGAAATGGGTGGGTTATGCTGTGTTTGTGGTAAATAAAAGAAACGCACGAAATATGATTGAGGTACTCTTCGCTCATGGCACGTTCACGTTCGTCTTAGGCCGTTCTACGATTTTGATGTAGTAGAATTATTTTCAAGCATGCTATGACAGAAGCAACCTTTCCGTAACAGGACAGCTGACTTGTGTAAGGCCAGCGCACGACTATCAGTTTTCAATCGTGCGACCATTATTATATATGCATGCGGGAAATTTGACCGTGCCCTTAACCAAAAATGCTTCCTTGTACACTGTACATTTTATAGAGCTCTGTTTGTCAATAAGGTTTGGGCGTTTTTTGTTTTACGCAATGTTCTGGATGTCTAACCATCATCGGCCTGAAAAACGTACATTAAAAGTCATCTGTGTCCAAGACTGGAGTTGCACAGCTGAAAATTTGGGTAAGTCTAATTTCTTATTTCGGAAATTACAGCATACTGTTAAAACGTACTTCATCAAAAACTTACTTGTCTTGTTTGTAGGTGTCGACCTCCTTTTCGTCCCTACTCCTTTCCACGATCCTCTTCAGCTCGACTATCCCGTACACAGACAGGCCGAAGAACGCGGCCACCACGCCTATGGGCAGCCACACGGGGGACGTCACACCAAGGGTCACCTGAGGACAATCAAACAGACATAGGTGTGACACAAAATATATCATGCGGATTTCCAGTTATTTGATTTATTTTGTAATACCTCGTTCATCTACGTAACGCAACAGTTTTGTAACACTGCTGAAGTACCTTTCCAACTGTGTTCAGTTTTAGAGTCGGCTCGGCGAACAGTTGCGGCAGTTTGCTCCTCTCCTGGCCGGTCGCCTGTTCCTCGTCCTCCAGCCCGGAGTCGGCGGCAGGTTCCGCCGGCACGACCGCCGTGCCGTCTATGGCCCCCTCGATGTCCAGCAGCTTTCGCTCGATCTTCGTGCGAAACGCCGAGGCGAAAAGCTCCACCAGGACCTCTCTCTGACGGCTAGAAAAACATGGAAACATTTTTTTTTAGTTCGGACTAATGTTATTCGGTCAGATTTCAGGGGCCAAGCCACGTACTACCAGTAAATAAAGTGCATTTCAAACTTGCCACCGTATCACGTATGCCAAAGGTAAGTCGCCGACTTTATTTTAGAACCCGAACCATGTTCGATCGATCATGTTCGATCTGACATAAGAATTAATTAGAACCAAACGCGTGTTCCATTCAGGGTCACTGGCAACACTGAAACTTGGAGCACCTAAAAAACCTATACCCGAGTGCGTATACAATCAAATCAATAATCAGTATGAATTTCTTTAAGTTGAAGGGGCATCTCATCATGAAATTTCCACGACAATTTATTGTGTTATGAAGCTTCCTGAACTTTGCTGGCAATTATGCTAAATCTAACGTTATATTTGAAAGAAGGAAACGTGTAACGTTACCTGAAAAATGCCTGATCTTTTTCCCAGTCTGACAACACTCCCTGAATACGCTTCGATATGGCGGCCTTTATTTTCTTCATCATGATGCTCAGGGTCCCCTCCACTGCCGGGAGGTCTGCCTCGGTCCACGTTGTCACCGTGCGCTTGACGTTGTCGCTCGTCAGGTGTTCCTGTTGTAGGAAAAGTGGATGGCCAACACTTACTCTCTATTTAAATGGTGTTGTTTTGTAACAAGGAATGAAAGAAATGCAAATCACTTCTTGGATTTTAATGACCACGTCTCTAGCTGTTTAACAGCATTCGTTAGCTTGGAGTCCAGTCTTGTTAGCTTTGGTCCACTCCCAACGTCATGAGCCAACCAAAGCTAACAAGGCTGGACGCCAGGCTTTGACAACATACATGTATATTGTAAAAGAAAAAAAAAACTTCATAAGCGAATCGAAATCGTTCAAGAGAATTGTCAGTCTCGTGCAGACTTAGGCCACACCGACTTAATTTTATGGATGACATCCGCGCGCTCATTGATTTTTGCCTGTCGGCCTAAAAAAAAAAGATTACGTCCACCGAGGCTCTGGCCTGGCTCTAGGCCTGGGTAGTCCATGGTAGTTAGCGACAATACGGAGCCGAGCACCCAGGCCACGACTCAAGAACAGTACAGTGCCGATTCATAAATTCCGCAAAAAGTCAGCATGTGCCAGCTTGCCGTATATGTCGCTAAGTACTGCCGCGAATTCACAATATCAGCTTTGTATTCCTGTGGTTTAATAGCATTTTTATTTTTGGTCTGAATTTTTTTATTCGCCCGCGCGCACTAGTTTGGGGGTCTTCAGAGGATGTCATCCATAAAATTAAATTGGTGTGGCCTTACCTGTAGCGACTTCACTGCGATGTCCGCACTACTATCCACATTCTCCCGTAGCATCTTCATGACGTCATCCGCCTGGTCCCTCAGAGCGTGCAGACGACTTTTCACCAGCTCGAACTTGGCCTTCCTCTCGTCACGTGACTGGTCCCCTTGCTGTACGTACGCGCGCAGGTGGTAGATGGTCCGGGAGAGAAAGTAGTCCAGCCACCTATGAAGGTGAGAACATATGATATACTTAGTGTCTTGGATCGTTGGATACATGTAGATAGAACGCTCAATGTGTTCGAGGACAAAAAATCTATTGAGTTGTTTAATACTTTACCTGTGTTTAATGCTGTATCCAGTGATTGTTATAGAGAATTGTCACCTTCATTTCGTCAAATTATCAGCTATTGAAGGAATAAAACTTACAAGCTAAACTAATTACAATATAGACAATTATCATCAGGATTAAAGACATTAAGTTGCATCATATTGATCAATCATTTTCTTGAACCACCTACTTATTAGTATTATCGAGTACAATCTTTTAAATTCACTTGGTAATGCATCCCAAAACTTTACAAAAATAGCTCTCGACTTGTCAAACCTGTAGGAGACTTCTATCCTCCAGCTCAATCTCTCGTTAAAACGTCTGACTGTCCAGAAAATTTATCCATTTGCTTGATTTATTTTGCATTACGAAAAATATCTCTATCGACTTGTCAAACCTGTAGGAGACTTCTATCCTCCAGTTCAAACTCTCGGGGATCAGCCTCTCGAGACCGTCGAGAAACCGCGAGAAGTCGGCGGACACGTGACCCTGGTCGCGCAGGCGCTGTGCCTCTGCCGTGGACATACAGAAGACCTGTCGTGCTGACGACCCTGACCAGCACGCCTGAAGCTTCTTCACGGTGTCTTCCCGCACCAGTTTCCGTTCCGCGATAGGAACCTGAAGAACATTACAGAATGTCATGGAATCAACTACTCCTCTGCATTTCTCTCTCTCTCTCTCCCTCTCTCTCTTATTCAGTGTCTGACTATGATTAACTCATAAAAACAGAATAATACAGGATAATTCCATCACAAATCAACCAATTGTAAGGAAAACTAAGAACGACAATGTTCCACACACCAAATACCCCCCCCCCCTTTGCTGGTACTTCATCCCAACATATAAGACATGGTAAAGCTAGCCCTCAGTAGGAGAGAAAAGCAAAATGAACTCCAGACGTTGAGTGTATCGTAGATTCTTGACCATGCTGTTCGAAATTCGAATGAACCAAGAAACATAGCGCTATTTTCCCCCGTTTCTCTGTCCGGAAAGTATAACCCGGAGTCACAACTTTTACAAAAAAAAATTACACAACATTGATCCAAAAGTGTGGTCTAGAGCCGTACCTGGTCCCACTTGTTGCAGACGAAGATGGCCGTTTTCACGGAGAAGGCCGGGATGTCTTCCGCACCGCTGGTCTTCATCGTGGCCACCTCCTTTAGTAAGGCTTGTAGCTGGAGACAATTCAAGAGAAGTCACAATTGTACCATTACTTATGCATCGTTGTACCTTCATAGTATCTTCTTAAGGTGTCAATTTTTTTATGTAAAGGAACTCTGACCATTACATGTACTTTGACCAACATGGAATAACTACTGTTTGTTGAGTTTACCATTTCTAGCCTGAATAGCAGGCTATTTACAGGGCTTGTATAGCGTCTCGGGTCCAGGATCAAAAGCCCCAAAGACGTTTTTTATCACCACCCACTCATGACCCTAAGGGACATGTTGGCCCTAGCCCTGGCTAGGGCCGAGAAACTGGTCTTAGCCCGACCACATCAGGCTTCTAACCTCTAGCAGCCATCCCACTTGTCAGGCTCGGAGGAGGCCCAATCAGTCTCTAACAGGATAAAACTGGCTCGTGCAGGCCCTGTGAACAGTCTGGCTTCCAGGCTAACCATTATTTCCAGACGTCCACCTACCCTGTCTGTCTGCACGCCGCCGGCGTTGTCGCTCTTGATGACGTAGATGAAAGCGAAGGCCTCCGTCAGGTACTCCTTCACCTGCCTGGTGATGTCCTCCTTCTCCCCGATCCCGGGGCTGTCCACGATGTAGATGTCCTGAACACGGAATATGAGTACCTATTTTGATATTGTCAACAGGGACGGGGGTCGATATCGACTTCCATCAATTTTTGACCCATTTCTGACGTCACACGTGCATAAAGCCACGTGCCCTGTCAGCAATTGAGCCAGAGAGCTGAAGAAGACTGTCTGAGTGAGTCGGGCGATCCTTTGAGTTGGAGAACAGTTAAATGTAACAGTAAAATGATAATTTGTTTTACAGTCAAACCTGCAAATCTCAGCAACCACTCAAGCAACTAAGGAAAGGTGGTTGTGATTGACAAGGAGTTGGCGCATTTATATCTGTATCTGTAAAGTCAGTATAACCACCCTTCGGCGTAACACACCAGTAACTTTATCTGTATAGCAGGCACTCACTTGTAACTGTCCCTCGGCATAACATACCAGCTCGGTAGCGAAGCAATGGGGGTCAAAGGATCATTTTGTCTCACGAACCTTGAGAAACTCCCTAGGCAGCAGAATCTCCACCCGTGGATAGTCTGTGGGCTGGTCCCGGTCTCCCTTCTCTTCTACATACTTCTTCAGCAGATCAACCAGGGAATCATCTTCCTAGAATATAGGAGGAGGGTTTACTAGCAGTGTCAACTATCGTTAACAACCAACATGTCTAGCCTGGCTAGTAGTGGTAACTAAACGTATTTTAGATGCCGAGTCTCTTTCGTCCTACATCTATTTCCGGAGAGTACGAAAGAGTCTTGGGAGCTAAATCAGGCTACGAAATTGTCGGCAGTAGCTAGAGCCCAGACCTGTAGCACTCTGTCCTCGCACGTCCCGTCCCTCCTGTGCAGTATGATGGTCCTCACCTCCCCGTACCTGATCTCACAGATGGATTATCACTGTCAACTCTCTGTATGCTTGCTTTTAGCCTGGAGTCCAGCCTTGTTAGCTTTAGTCTGCTTCCCAAGATCCGCTACCCCTCCAACAAGACTGGGCGCCGTTATCATTTAAACGATTTCAGAAGGCGTATTCGCCGAAAATACGTGCGAGCGCTTGACTATTGTTGGTGGAGTAGCAGATCTTTGGGGGCGGACTTAAGCTAACAAGACTGGACTCCAGGCTAGTTTGCTTTAGCAGTTCAGTCAACAATCATTAACATACAAAGACACTAATCTCCAGACCTGAAGCACCCTGTCCTCGCACGTCCCGTCCCTCCTGTGCAGTTTGATGGTCCTCACCTCCCCGTACCTGATCTCACAGATGGTGTTATTACTGTTAACTATAATTAACATACAAATAAAGACAGTAGACCCCAGACCTGTAGCACCCTGTCCTCGCACGTCCCGTTTGTCCGGTGCAGCTTGATTGTCCTCACCTCCCCGTACCTGATCTCACAGATGGTGTTATTACTGTTAACTATAATTAACATACAAATAAAGACAGTAGACCCCAGACCTGTAGCACCCTGTCCTCGCACGTCCCGTCTTTCCTGTGCAGCTTGATAGTCCTGACCTGCCCGTACCTGATCTCACAGATGGATTATTACTGTCAACTATCACTGTCAACTATTATTCATACAGTAGAGCCCAGACCTGTAGCACCCTGTCCTCGCACGTCCCGTCCCTCCTGTGCAGCTTGATGGTCCTGACCTCCCCGTACCTGATCTCACAGATGGTGTAGGTGTTGCTGAGGTGGGAGGTCGGCAGGACCTCCTCATCCAGCAGCAGGTTTATCAGCGAGCTCTTCCCCGCTGACGTTTCTCCTGGGTAGGAAAAGAATGTTCACGTCAGTGATCTAATACGAGTACTCGTATGTAGCAATTTAGAACTGTGATTTCCAACACGAGAAATTGGACTTATATCCAAATTTTCGACCGTGCATCCCCAGTCAAGGAATGAGTAACAGTAGCCTTTCAAACATGCATGCTTCATGACTTCTACCAACACAGATGAACTTTCAAGATGAGATGTAATCTGTGATAAGTAAAGTTGTAATAAGTAAGTAAAGTGTTTAGAAACAAAACGACCAAACATAGCGCATCTCATTTCAATTATAAAATCAACGGTCGCCGTCTGGTGGAAAAGAGGTCTTATGTGAATTGTGACAGCTTGAGTTCATCACATGTAAGTTCCGGGATCTACTACTCAAACAGTATACACGAAATGGTGATACAGTGCGGTGAAATAAAACTAACCTGCGACGAGTATCGGACACTTTCGTGACGTCATCCTCTCCTTGTGGAGTAAGAACTTGGCCATGAAGTTCGGCACGTTTCTTTCTAGCTGATCCGCCAGTTGGTCATTCAGCTGAGGAAAACAAGCAAACAAACACACAAACACGCAACGGTCAACAGAACTGTTCTGGACTGTTCAAAATTCTTGAACATTAAAATTTATGTGTTTGTGTGTGTATGTGTATGTGTATTTGTGTGTCTGTGAATGTGTGTGTACTTGTGTGTGTACTAGAGAGTATGATAGTGTGTTTGCATGTGTGTGTGGGTATGTGTATGTGTTCATGTGTGTGTGTATGGATGTGTGCGTGCTCGTGAATGACATCAACATTGTTAAACATCGAAACCCACAGAGTTTAGGTGGTCTTGATACAAATGTATCCCGCCTTACAAATTTAATGAAAAATTCCGAGGGTTCTGAATGATTTTAATGTTATTTTTCACCTCTTGTTTCATCATCAGCAGCCCGGCGGCCCGCTTCTCCACCTCCTGCAGCAGCCCCAGCAGGTGTTTCCTCCTCTCCTCGTCACGGGACCGCATCGCAGTCACCATGTTAATCACCTACGTGTGCGTCAACAGGGGGAAGATGAAAGTGAAAGTGGTCCCGTAGTGAAAGTGATCTCGAAGTGAAAGTGACCTCGAAAAGTGATCGCGAAAAGTGAAAGTGATCTCGTAAATTGATTGCGAAAAGTGAAAGTGATCTTGAAGTGAAAGTTATCTCTAAGTGAAAGAAATCTCGAAATAAAATTGATCTCGAAAAGTGAAAGTGATCTTGAAAGAAAAGTGATCTCGAAGTGAAAGTGATCTCGAAAAGTGAAAGTGGTCTCGGAGTGAATGCGATCTAGAAGTGAAAGTGATATCTAAGTGAATGTGATCTTGAAAAGTGAAAGTGATCTCTAAGTGAAAGAAATCTCGAAATAAAATTGATTTCGAAAAATGAAAGTGATCTCGAAGTAAAGCGTTCTCGAAGTGAATGTGATCTCGAAAAGTGAAAGTTATCTGGAAACGTGAAAGTGGTCTCGGAGTGAAAGTGATCTCATTATCTCTAACTGTGTGCGAGTTACATTATAAATATCATGTATTGCTGAAATGATCTCGCGTTTGGAATGTACAAAAAAAGCTAAATCAAGGCAACTCTCACCTCGCCAGGTCTGCGTGATTTTCCCGCCTTTTCCAGCAGGTGTAACTTCAGTCTGTGTTTGATGTCATTCAAACCCTTCAGACCTTTCAAGGAAAGGTTCATTTTCTTGGCGAGCTGTGGATAGAACAGCAGAAGAACACTCCGTCGGTCGTCTTACAAACTAATATTCTACAAAATAACTGTATGCAATTCTTCAAGGTTTGTACAGACACATATAACAAGACAATCAAACAATCAGTTACATAACTGTTTAATTTTCTTCTTTTCCTTATAACCAACGAAGAAAAGTTTCAGTAATAAACGGCCTGCCTATCTGCAAGGCAATTATGGCAAGGGCAGCAATTAACAGTCGACTCATCAATATTGACCTACCAACTATAGATTTTAGGATCCCTGCATATTATTTATACACGGAATAGAAGATTTTCTTTACGGTTTCTGGACGTTCCTTTGAAACAGATGACCATGTTAACTTTTACTAATGACGTCACAATGCCACCCTGTGTCACCTTGACAGCCTTGGCCAGTTTATCGATCTCGTCCACTTCCTCTTCGGTAGGAAGGGTCATCTCGTCCCCAGCGTCCTCCGCGTCGGCCTCCGCCATAGTAGGGCGAGACGTAGACTAGAAAAAAGCCATTTTTTTATTTTTTATTTTTTTAATCCGAAACATGTAATCACAAGACGTGGTGACGGCACACTCAAGTTTTTTCAACTTATATTAATGCTGCCACCAACACAGGGACAATACAATACTCATTTACACCTGAGCGAAGTGAGGAAAGTCGTGTAAAGTGCCTTTCCCAAGGGCACAAGATCGGTGGCATGTCAGGACTCGAACCCGGGGCCTCTGGTTCCGAGTCGAGAACGCTGCCGCTACGCCACACGACCCCACACGACCCCACAAAAAAACCATTGTGTCAGTCTTTTAAACTTTTCTTAAAAACCTTCACATTCAGAGATGGTAGGATATTGAGTCAACATGCCGAATAGATACTTGAGATAAGAAGAAAGGCAACATTTTCAAATGAAATGCATAATGTTTACCCTCACATGGTCTAGCCTATATAGCGACCTAGTGCTCCGTTTACTCTTACTCGAACACATCCCCAACTCTGTTCTGACACTTGCTATATAATGTAACCCAACACCACGGGGTGTCTGGTGACAGTAGTCTGGATCAGGTCATTGACCTCATGTGTTTGAAGAAGAAACAGACCAAAAATTATATGTTTTCCCTCTGCAAAGGTAAACATAACAATATTGGCCGATGTGAAAGTGAAAGTGAAGGTCGTTGAAGAGATTCATCAGTCACGTATAGTACAAGTTCAGTAAGATAATTCTTTCAATCAGTGACTATTAAATCCTAAGGTACATACCTCCGAATTTTCGACGACTAATCAGTTCGTCTTGGTCACTGATTAGTCGTCGAAAATTCGGAGGTATGTACCTTAGGATTTAATAGTCACTGATTGAAAGAATTATCTTACTGAAAGTGAAGGTAAAGTGAACGGTGTACCTATGGAACATTACAAGTACCTAAGATTCAGCATCATACATCTATCATTTTGAAAGAAATTGCCATAAATACTAGTATGTTAGACACCAGCTCACCCCTCACCCCCTAAATGAAAGTAATTGATATTCAGGTAGCGTCTCTTGGTGGCGGCTGCACGTGGATTTAAATTATATCAATAGCTGTCAGACGACTTCTACTCAGAAACATAGGTTTCGTATCCGCACGGATGGGTTCATATTGTCCCCCGTTAACACAAGGCTCAAATTTCAACTCTCTTCCCTCTTACGTGTTGCTAGGGCTACACATGAATTTATGCACCAAACCAATACTAGTATTCATGACGATGATCACAAAATAACAGACAGTCAATGTTGCGATTACAACAGCCCCACCCCTGTGAACAAGTGGTACATTCCGGGTGGACTGAAGAGGAGACAGTGCAGTGTTCCGTTCCATTAGTATTAAAATCTGGCGCAAATCGTAGAACGAAACCTTGCAGGAAACGAAAGCAGATTTCGGCATTGACATGACCAGTGAGCGGATAGAATTCTGCATGTAGGAACCCCACTGCAGAATACTACGACATCAGAGGTACGAGCCGCACTTACAAACAAGTAAGTTTAATTTTCGGTGGGTTGCTAGTTTGGTAACCATACATGTAACATCGGGAGCTTTCCCGGTATCTCTACGGTGCTGGGAGTGTTGCCCTCCAGCCCATTCGCCGGGGGAATTTCACGGCTTTGGTTTCATAGATCTCTCCCGAAGGTATGATTGAACTAAAGGCTTGCCTACCCCTTGCACCCAGTCTCTACTGGACAATAGTTGATCAGAAAGGCCAGCTGGAAATATAGACCGTCGGAAAGAAACTGGACAGTATGACTATCAGGCCTCTGATCGATGTTTGCTATCTTACAGCTGAGATGGTTCTGTTACAAAGTCGTGTCGACAATAATGACTATAACAGTGTAGATCACGAAAGCCATGTATTATACATCATGTACCTCGACGCGAAGAACAGAGGGGGCGATGAAACAAAGTACAAGCAAGTTGTGACCATTTCCTTGAAGTATCATATATATCAGGCATATTTATACAGATACTATATGAGGAAATGCGGTACCTGAAATCTCCCAATCAACAGCAGGTACGTTCTACCTTGCTGGCGTAGTCCGTAGGCGGAAAAAGCCTGTATTCATGCCAGAATATTCCTCGTCAGTTCTGAGTTTCGACTGAACCCGGAAGTGAGTTACGCACTGCTACAGGGGGCGTTTGTAGCTGGAGGTTAGAGTTCACAGGGTCAGCTGTGCATCAGCTACACGTGATTGTCATGCGGTGTGTCAACATTATACCTGTGGGATCGGTCAGAGTTCAGGGTACACGGCCGGGTCTGCTGATGAGAGCGTTAACTTGTGTGTTGACTGCGAAGAACGTTTGGTGCTGTAACCATGAAAGACTTCCTGGTTAGGTGACCGGTCACGTACATGTAACGTTACGCCGTTCCATCTTCGTACTGAGGGCGTTCTTGGGGTAGTCTCAAGGGTGCAGGTGAGTCCTGACAAATCCAGCTGTCTTTATACGGAAGAGCTTGTCTTTACATACATCCTTGTCGGCGGTTGGTTCTGAAACAGTTTGCTATACGGCATCAAAATCGTACGACAAGCTTGGGCGAGCGTGACCCACCGGTGTCGTAAATTATGCGGCACGTAAACCTCAGGCATGACGCTGAGCTGAACAAGGGTACAAGGTGAAGGGCTGGATCATATAAAGGTTGTAATAGGCAGAATTTTGCAGTAAGATATGTCTGTTTAGATTTTACACCAGGCTTCCCAAGAGAGAATGATTTTACTCTCTAAGTGGTTTTCTTACTGTGGGCGTTACCCTTGTCGGGCATTAACCCTTCGACAGATTTCAATCAGATTTCCATTTATGATCGATGATCGTTATTTACATGTTCTTACTGACGGGAACTAAAAGCAGTAGTTATACTATTTCACCATGACTATCAAAACATTGCCTGTAGTATTGATATTGAACGGAGGGGAGGGACAAAACAGTTAAGCATATAAATCTATGCGATCACTAAAAGTATCGTATATCTGTTGTCACTAGACGTATCGTTTCATATGAAATGCAGTATTCAAAATCATTTTCATCAGATCTAGCTTTGTTTATCAAGTTGTTTACCTGTCATTCGGTTTGCTAAATGCTCTTTGTTCAGTTCGGTAATGTCTGTTTGGACATTAGACACTGTGTTGATCTTATAGCGTACTCTAATCGGATTTGGGACCTCGGCTGTCCTTGGCCCCACCTGGGCTATTGTACTGCAGACCTAGGTGATCCTAGGTGGGCGGAACAGCAAACGGAAGGCTGGCTGAGAGCTAGAGCAAACATGTGTGCATAGAAATGTGTAATGATTAGAAAGGCGGACTTTAGTTTGAAATCAATCGAAGCCGGGGCGAATTTATTTCAATGAAAATGATTACTCAAATTTTACATAAACAAAAACTGGCAACACATTTCACGGCGGCATGGTCGTATATGTGTATAACCTTTACAATGAAAAATATACGGCAGGTTCATTGAGGAAGCTAATGAAACACACACTATTATAAATCTTAACTTACGTCCTTCGTAAGACTACATTTATACTTATTGACTAACACCGTTCTATTCCAACCCCACAGAACAACAACCTTTAACGTTACACACCGAAAAAAAAAACACGAAGAGGTCATTGGCCTCCCTAACATAAAATGGCGGCTGAGGAGGAGTTTACCCTGACGGAGGAGGATGTGGACGGTATAGAGGACGATGATCTGGGCACGGTGATAGATCTGCTGGAGAGGTGCGGGATCAACTATGACGGGCTGGACACCGTGCCCGAGCTCAAGGTTGTTGACTCAACATTATTCTTGGTTATATTGTTGTCAATGTATCTCATGATGTTTTGTACTCGTATATTTTCCTGTGTGTCGTATGTGTGTTAGAACAGAACACAGCCTAGAATAGCTATTGTCATGTGCATGCATGTATGCTGAGTGTGGATCCCAATAAACTCAGCTCAATCTGATATTATTGTATTTTAAAGTGCATGACATAACAGTATGTTTCATGTCTTAATTAACCTTTATAATATTGACTATGCTGTTGTTTAATGTTGTTATTGCTTTTAATGTAAAAGATCTCTGTTGTCTTCATTATGTAATGTATATGCATCTGATGTAAATTATCACTATACTTCAGACACCACTGAACGATGTACGCCTGCTTTTGCTAATAAAAGTAATTTTATATTATGTTGCAAAGGAGCTGCTCAGGCAGAAGTGTCGGGAGGAGGAGGCGGCGAGAACAGGACAGGAGGAACAGGAAACGGTGAGCAGTAGTCCTCGAAATCACAACTATACAGTATGTATTTAAAACATCTTAAAAATATAGTCTCCACCAGACTCCTTTTGCAGGCTGAATAAATCGTAGAAATCGGCCTAAAATGGGGATATAGTTGGCCAGAGAAGGTAGCCGGCCAGAGAAGCTCCATTTTTCCATGCAGGCAAATGGAGCTTCTCTGGCCGGCTACCTTCTCTGGCCAATTATATCCCCTTTTAGGCTTATTTCTACGATTTATTCAGCCTGCAAAAGGAGTCTGGTGGAGACTGTTAGGGCCCGAAGTCACGGCACCGTTCACGAGCCGCTGCCCCTAAGGCAAAAGTGCCGACAGGAGGAACGGGAAACGGTAATTGAGCTTGGAGAAGTAAACACTTCCTGAAACCACAATAGGAATTTATGTATTTAACAACCTGGTAGAATAAACAAATAAGCACTTTGACCCTCCTTATGCCCTTTACAGTTACAACCTATGAAACCAAAAAACAGGCAATTAGGCCCTACTTTTATTAGGCCCTAAATGAATGAATGACTTTATTTCAGGAAAAAACCCATAGTACAGACAAGGACCACATAGACACTAAACACACAACAATCTATATACATTTTTAAAATACGTGTTCCTGAATTGGCAGTCTAAAGTAAACTGCGTAGAAATCACAACAATAAAGAGCTCAAGGGTATCTCAAATAACCCAAACTCACAACATTTAGGCACTTCAGGCGAATCACAAACATATCTACGGCGGTAGAATAACTCCACTGCAATGGAGGATGATAATAAAGTCATCCACCCCAAACAAGAATCTTTGTGACAAGAGTAGTAATGAAGTGTAAAACTAGTTATCACGGTTTTCGTTTGATAAATGGCTATCTGTAAAATTTGATAAATAGCCAGAGCCTGTTTTTACCCTGCGTGTGAAACCATCGGTTTACCCTCCCGTGCGCCCAGGCCACGTCTGTCATGAAGATGTTGATAGAAGACGACAAAAGGAAGCGGGAGGAGCTGATCCAGACCTGCGAGGACTTGTCAAGGTTAGCTGCAATTTACTGCTACTCAGCAACGCCACCTAGCGGGATGCGTTAAAACTGACTGTTTGATAGGCTTTTGTTGTCGGTGACTGGAAACAAGAAAAACATATTTGACGCATAAATGCACGGTCACATTTCCAAGCCGGGCCCGGCCGGGTTGTTTGCGTAAACAAGAAATAAACAATTTGTATGAGGAGTATGCACAAATACAAATAGTGCTCATGGTTAATTTTCTAAAACTTTTTTTTTGGGTGTTTTTCTGTCTTACATAATTTTCGTTCCAAACGACTGCCCGGCTGGGCCCCGGGTTGGGAAATGTGACCGCGCCTTTAATAGGGAATGGAAAATGTTAAAACAAGCAATTAAAATATGTAAAGTGCCTTCCACCAAAGTTACAACGTTGCTGCTTGCTAGTGATTCAATCCCAGAACCTTTAAATTCTTAGTCAGTTGAATTAACAATCAACCCTATAAACGCAATCGATCGTGTAAAATATGTAACACTCTTCCCTCCCTTGGCAGTTTTCTGATGAACTTGGACGAACAGACGAAGGAAGAAGCAGAAGCGAACATCCCTGGGTACGAGAGCCAGCTGAGACAACAGATTGAGAACCTGTCCAAAGGCGACTGCCCCATCCTCGTGGCCGGTCAGTAACACAATATTTTCATTTCAGGCTGCGACCGCTGAGCGACTGCTTAGTGACTATTAAGCGACCACTGAGCGACCAAACCGACAGATTGAGCAATTAGTTTTATACATCAAGAACAATTTTTTAACGAATCTGTATCTGTATCTGTATAGCCGGTATGACCGCCTTTCGGCGTAACACACCAGCTTCGCAGGCACGCGGCGCGGCGGCAGCTGGCTATATTACACCGATCGACTTGTTACACCTAACCCTTGAACTTCTAGCTCTAGACATTATTTAAAGCTATCTATTGACAATGCCCCTACTGTACTAGGTGACAGTGAGTTCCACTCTGCGATAGTTCTAGGAAAGAATGAATTCTTGAACACCTCAATCCTTGGTTGATAACTCTGGTGTATGTTGTTGTATTTTGAATCATATTCTAACATTGTGCCTCATATTCAGATTATAGAATTAAGGGTCACACAGATTGATTTTGGGTCTCTTAAAGTCGCTCAGCGATCGCTAACTAGTGAAAAAAGGGCTTAAAAATACAGTCTGTAGAATATGACATGAAGTAGCCCTAACATATAGGTTACCAAAAAAGGCAAAATCGTAAGACGGCCTAGGATAAATATATATGTGGCAAAAATCAGA